CCCACAAGCTCTGGAGCCCACGAGCTCTGGAGCCCACGCCACAACTAGAAAGAAGCCCGCCCACCACAATGAAAGATCCCACACACCTCAACAAAAGTTCCTGCACGCCTCAACAAAAGACCCCGCACGCCGAAGCTAAGAGCCAATGCAGATAAAAAACAAAACGAAACAAAAAAAAACCCATTTCTTATTCCTGTGCTTTCTCTCCACTGTTAATTTTGTTTCTGAACCAACAGGTTCCCAGTAGAAACCTGACACCTTATGCTACATATATTTTAATTTAAAATGAATCTTTGGGTCTACAGCCCTTTGCCAAATGCAGTCATTGAATGTATAAAAAGGACTTTGGTCCTTAACTTTACAAGCTTAGAAACTGAAGCAAGAGTCCTCTGAATCCTGCTGTTCCAGTTTAAAGAGCCAAAATGATACAAAGCTGCAGTTTTATTGGCTGACTTTCCTAAAGCACGATAGGTTTCACTGTCACTCAGATTCATGTAACAGACACATCTTCTGAAGTTTGGAAAAACCTTCTCTTTTTGTTAATATGTTCAAGGGTTATAGAATTCTAGGCTGTGTATTTTGCATATATAGATACATGAACAAATAAGGGCTGCAACACCATCCACCTTCCCTGTCTCTGTTCTTGTTACCTGAACCACCCATTTCTGACTCTTAATCCAGGCTTCTGCACCTTTCACTTCATCTAGTGGACATCGACTCCTCTAAGTTTCAGTTTCTCTGTCTGGCAAATGGGGATGATAGTAATAATACCGACTTCATGGGGTTGGTGGTGGTGAGTGTTTCAGGATCCAGCATGGAATGTATATAAAACCCTTGGCAGAATGTCCGATGACAAATGTTTGCTGTTTTAATAATCGGTTCTGCCAACTTTAATCTTCTAGGGGCAGCAATTTAGGGGCTTCACATCTAGGGATAAAAATTGCTGATAATTACTTGGACTTTCTTTGCGTCTGTACCTAGTAAGATTCTTCTAAGGCCGTTCTCTTCTTGGAGCTCTTTGCCCACTTATAATGAACAAGTTACTTGTTTCATGCATCTCTCCCCTTTTGGACCGTAGACCCCGTGATTGAAGAGACTGGGTGTTTTGCCCATTGCTTTGCCCAGTTCCTCACAGTGCTTGGCCCAGATATTTCTTGACTGACTATTGACTGAAGCAGTATTTCTGACTCTATGTAAGTGAACAGAGAAATGGTGAGGAAGGAGAGGATAAAGGGGAAATGGACCTCCTAAAGAGCAGGTTACTTTACAAGGTATCCCACATTGAGAGAGAAGCCTAAACTTTAGGCCTGAATTTTTCCTCTTCCTCGAAGGGACCTGCCTGGAACCGGGTACTGCGCCTTGTGAAACGCTCAGATAAGCAATGTAATAAAAATCATAAAACGCAGGACTCCCCTGGTGGCACAATGGATAAGACTCCGTGCTCCCAATGCAGGGGGCCCGGGTTCGATCCCTGGTCAGGGAACTAGATCTCACGTGCATGCTGCAACTAAGAGTTCTCATGCCACGACTAAGAAGCCCATATACCACAACTAAGGAGCCCATGTGCTGCAACTAGAGGAGCCCGCCTGCCGCAACTAAGACCTGGGGCAACCAAATAATTAATTAATTGATTTTTAAAAAAGTGTACTTCTAAAAATAAATCATAAAACGCAAATCAACATTTTTCTGTGTTGGCAACATTAGAGCACCTTAAAAGAGAGAGCTTTTGAATTATTATGGATAGTCTTCTGTTTAAAGGACTTAGAGTCCTAATTCACAAAGAATGTCAAGAGTTTAAAAAAATATATTAAGAGTTACAGGGTTAGAGGAAATTAGGGGCCCAGGAGCCAACCAGAGTGGGATTGCATGTTCTGGGATGAGAAATGAGACACCCAGACATTAGCATGACTGAAATGTGATATAACTTCAAGGCTATTCTATGATGGTTAGCTATTTTTCATCTCCAATGAAAGGGATAAGCCTTAGATGACAGGGAATGAAAAAAAGGTAGGATAAAATCATGGAGTTTTTAAAAATTTAGTTCAGGAAAAATCATGAAAACTTCTAATATAGAGATATTCAGAAAGAACGCAGAGCTCCATTTCCCTAAGACTGGAGGAGCAAAGGGTAATTCTATGTCAACATTGGTCACCACTTAGTCCTCCTTGTACTTCAATAAGAATAGTAAGACCCTACTTCAGGAAAACCATATGATGAACTGCAAACCCCGCCCCCCTTGGAGTTCACAGGGGTCAAAAAAGCCTAAAAATCGGTTTCTTTTTGCAGAGGAATCCCGTCCAAGTGAAAACTCTATTACTATGGCCTTTTAGAAACTCATTGAAAAAGGCTGATCCATGACCCTCGCCAAGCTTATTTGAATTCATGTGTGTTAAGGCCTAAGATTCAGCAGGTCATTAACCTTATTGACGATGGTGCCTTAATATTGAGGAGACATTTGAACTTAGCCACAGAAATATATCTTGTCCCCGCCAAAACCGTGGGTAATTAGTCAAATCCATTTCCCCTGCCTTCACTAATCAATGTCATTTTAAGGCTTGCCTGTTCTCCAAGAAGCACGAGGCCCAAACAAGAAACTGCCTGAGCTGCTTTCCAGGAATTTGGAGCAGGTCTTATCTAGCTCAGCTGAGCTTGTTGAAACTAGGCGGGACCACTGACCTCCCTACTGGGCATGCGCGAGTTTCCACCCGTGACCTTTGGAACGGGCAGAGGCCCGTAGCCTAGCTATGCCTGCGCAGCACGGTGATGACCGCACCTTTTCCCAATCACCTTTCCTCACCTCCCCGGCTTCCCACGCTCCCGTGCCTCAGAGCAGCCCGCTTCTTCATTCCTCGTCCCATAAATACCCCGCCTCCTCCCTTCGGGGTGGGGGGTTTGAGGTTTGTGCTCCGGTTTTCTCCCTTGGCTGCCTTGCGGATAAGCCCTGTCTTTGCTGCAGACGTCAGTGTCTCCGCGTTGTGGTTGCGGTGCTTCAGGTAAAATGAACCCGGTTCCCTAACACCAGCATTTAAAAACAAAGCAAAAAAATGACTATAAGCTGGGCAAAATTATGGTAAACATAATTTTGGGTTTTACGTTGCTTCAGGCAGAAGCTAGTTGTATCTTTACTCATAATGCTTTTCCTTAGTTTCAGCAGGGGACATTAGAATCATTTCAAAACCAGAGCGACCCTCCCAGGCTTCCTCTGGGACCTGTTTTGTCACCCGCAGGCTGAAGTCCCTCTTCATCCAGGCTGAACATCCAGGCTTTCCCTACGGAACATTTGGTGATAAGGGTCGGGGGAAACGTTTGCACCTGGCATCCCCTGGACTGTAGTAGCTATAGATGCTGGAGAGAGGAGAAAGTCTAGGTTTTCTTTGAGATTCCCAGAGCAGAACTGGCAGTAACGAGGTGTGACTTTATACACAGCCAGACTTTCCACTTGGCCCCAGCTTTGGCAGCAACTTTTCATCTGCGTTGGAGTATTAAGGGCCAAAGACGATGAAATGCAGCAATTAAAGGGCAAGGAGTGGGGCTGGGAGGTGGGATAATTCTGGGCAGTTTCTCTGAAGGGGAAGAGACCTCCCAGCCCCTTCAGGGCCTCCTGGAACTGAGGTCAGGAAACAGCATAGCTGGTTTCAAAGAGGGGCCCCCTTGGGCGAGAGGTGCCAGCCCAGCAGGGAGACCTGCTCTGGCCCTGCCACCCTGCAGGGTTCGAGAGGTGCAGGTGGGGACCTTCTCTCTGCGGGCACTGCTCCAGGTGCTCTACACAGCTCCACCTTTGTCACCTTCATGTCGCGTCATGTAGATGTGGCAATAAAGATCAGAGAGTTCCAGCAGATTGCACAAGGTCACACAGCAAGCAGGTGAACGTATGTGGACTAAAGTCTGACTCAAGAATTTTTCTCGGATTCAACTGTTCCTTCTATGAAGAATGTTTCTGTTTTTCCCTTTTTCCCAAGTTTTAGACAGAGAGACTGTCTCCCAGGAGGAGAAACATTTGGGTATTATTTGTTTCCCCGACACATGCATTTTGCGACCCCACAGGACATTCTGGTGGCAGCTTGGAGCTACAAAAGAAGAAGCTCCCACTCTCTTTACCCCAGGAGCTGACTCGGTGATCTTCTTCAACCATGGAAAGTCCCTTCCCCAGATAGACCCTGGTTTTCCACTGGCTTCTCCTGCTGCTAAAATAAAACCAGGCTAATCCCTCAGCCATCCAGTGTTAACAGGTGGGGCTGCCTCCCCAGCATTTGTCAGAGGTGTGAAGAGGCCTTTTTTATGTGCGGTTTTGCCCGTCTGGCTGCCACACCTCTGTCCTCCAAGGGAACTGCTTTTATTACCCTGGGCCTCTCTGCCAAGAGCCTCTTCTCGGTGGCTGGCTGGCTCCCGTTACCCTCCTGTTGGACTCAGCTTTCAGAGTTGCCTTCCCTTCTCTTGTGAAGAGAGAAGTCCATGAGGACAGACAAAAGTCACACAGGCCTGTGCTACATGTGGATGAGGGACCACTGTGAGTAACTGTGGCTGCCCCCTCCACCCCGAGTTCCTATCAAACCTACAGGCACAGCTGAACGACTTTCTTGTGGCCTCCAGCCATGCACAAATCAGCACTATAGAAAAAGCAACAGGTACCTTTAGAATTGATATTTATAAGAGCAGGCTTGGTCTGGGTTTTTCGTCCTGCTGCAGAGAACAAAACTGACCACAACGTGTAAGTTTGTAGCACAAGACAGACTGTGTCAGAAAACGGTCAAGAATACAGCAGCACAGTCCATCCATTTCTCTGGGGCCCCTTCCCCATTTCCATGGACATATTTCCCAGACAAGCTACCAAACAGGTAAGGTGTCCTACTATTTATTCACTTCAGGCCACGGGGCTGCTTGAACAGACTTTGTCGTTTGCATTCTGCACCACCCCACACCCCCGCTTGTTTTTGGATTTGAAAACTTTTAGTGCATTAAAAATAAAAGAATTCGGTCAAATCAGCCAAGTTAAACAGGTTTGAAATTTATTTTAAATGTTAGATTGATACAACCATTTAATAGGTGGCCTTCATATGGCCTATGGAAGCCAACAATTTTTAAGGAATAAAGAATAACAACACCAATTATGAATTTGGGGGCATTTTAGAAAAAAAATCATAACGTTTCATTGAAAGCATCTTTGTGTTCTTAAAATCAGGGAAAGTTTGCCATTCAAACTTCCAAAATGTGTTTTGGAACATTATTTTAGAGAAAATTATATATATATATATTTTAAAAAGAATGAAGGATCCTTCTAAGGAAGGATCAAGAAAGCAGAGGTGAGAAGGTGACTTCAATTTCACAGGCAAATATATCTGTGTATGCACATTTGCATGTAAATTTTCTGATGACGTCATATCGCAGGTAATACAGGAGTTTGGTCAAAATGGGACTTCCTGGGGGCAGAGCTGCTGGACAGTGAGAGAGTGAAGTGGGACACTGAGTGTTTCAACCCCATCCTGGGGAGTGAATGTGAATCAGGTGTGTCAGAGAGACAACCGCCCCGCCCCCAAACCGGCTGAGCTCTTTGCAACTGGAGAGGAGGAGTGAGATGTGTTCACCCTGAGACTGGCCTCCAGAGAAACTCAGGAGAAAGTCTAAAGCCCCTGATCTGCATAAAGCAGCAGAGGAGGGGCTTGGCCGGTTGTACAGGAGCCCGAGAGCAGTGCCCCTGCTTAGAACACTTATTTCTTCCCCAAGGGTGATGCAGGCACAGAATGGAGCTATTTGACTTGGAGGCCTAATTGCCTTCGCTGAATCTGCTCCAGGAGTCCAAGTCCTTAACGTGAGGCCTGAGTGCTTGATGCTGATGTCACCAGTCTCCTAGTGCTGTCGGTCATTCCTCTGGTGCCTCCTGCTGCTGGAAGAGTTTTCCCATTTCCCCTTCCACCTTGGAGCTGGTCTGTGGAGAAGTGGCCTTCCCGAGAAGGTAGAGCCTGAGTCAGGGGGTCAACACACAGCGGTGAGATGAGGACACCAAGGAACAGGGAAGCACCCACACCTTGGTCTCAGGGACAGTTACCTGCCAGGAGCGGGTGACCCAGCCTGATGTAAGAGTCCTCCTAATGCGGTCAGGAACCTGGGGGAAGCGTACAGCATTCCTTTGGTGGAGGTGACGAGCTGGTGCTACAAAACATCTATCCCAGTTGGGTAGGGCCTTGGGGCCACCCCTCTACCAGATTCTAAGGAATCACATCATTCCAGGACTTCGGAGAAGTGGGCTGGTGTTTTGGGATGTCTAGAGCAGCAGATGTTACAGAGATGCACGGGGGCCACCCTGGAGTTTCTGGGCGGGGAGGCAGCTGGAGGACGGAGAGCAGCATGGTCCCCCCATGGCTGGCGAATATCAGGTGAGGGTGGGAGTGGTCCCAAGGTCAACTTCGATGCAGCTTTTGTCCATGTCTAACTCAGAGTAGTGACAGAAGGGGATGGTGGGTGTTTTTCGACTCTGAAGGGCTTGACTCTGTCCACAGTTGCTGCCTCCCTTCTGCTTCCCTTCTTGCAGGCTTGGGTCCCCCTGTATCTCCTCTCCTCCCTGCGGGAATGTGTACAGAGCCAACCAAACAGAGGGTGAGTGGAGCATTTGGCAGTGGTTACTTTGCTGCAGTCCCTGTATTTTTCATGAAACAGCACCAAGATTGGTTGCTCTCTCTCCCCGCTCTCCATGCTGGAGGCTTAAAAGACAGGGATCTGGTCTCTCCGAACCACATCCAGGTCATCATCCAGGGTTAACAAGACCTGAAATGAGAGAGGCAGAGAAATGAGAGGAACCCACAGTTGCAATAAGTCCATATTTTCTCCCAAAGACTCACAAGTGCCCTTATTTGTTTTCATGTCTTCTGCAGCTTTCTGCAACGCCGTGCTCTTAACAGGCACTTGTCATAATTACATAGTTCATTTATTAATTCAAATATTTATCAAGGGTCTATTAAGTGCTATTCCAGGTGCTAGAGATATGGCTTAGAACAAAAATCCCTACCCTGGTGGGGCTTACATTTGAGAGAGGGCTTCAGACATGAAGCAAACGCATGAGCAAAGTCAAGTATGTTAGCTAGTAATATGTACTAAGGATAATAATTAAACTGTGGTGGGGATATAGGAAGTATGGGATGGGGCGAGGTAAAAAAATTTTTTTGGTTAAAATTTTATTTTTCTAAATTTTGTATTTTTATTTTATATTGGAGTATAGTTGATTAACAATGTTGTGTTAGTTTCAGGTATACAGCAAAGTGATTCAGTTGTATATGTATAAAATTTTGTTTTTCATTGGGTGGCCAGGGACATCATTACCACTTAGGAGGGGACATTTGGGTCGGGACCTAAACGGAATGAAATCTTGTTGCATAGAATATTGCCATATAAGAATTGTACCCTAATCCTCCATTTTTAGTTCCCTTTACCATCACTCTCTCCACATGGAACCCTTAGCTCCACTTTTGTTGTCTCTGTCTCTCTAGAGAAGGTGACTATCAAAGATAAAAGCCTTCAGGAATGATGTTTATACAGACTGGTTGAACTTCCCAAACTGGCCACGAGGGGGTAGCCCTGCTCCACTCTTGAGGTTACATGGACAAGACTAAAGTAAGTGGGCAGCGTGAAACCAGGAGGCCTAATATTGGGCTGGCCAAAAGGTTCGTTCGTTTTTTTCCGTAAGATGGCCCTAGCAGCACTTAGTTGTTTTTAACTTCATTTGGAACAATTTTGTTAGATTGTGTGTGACAGCTATCCTATCAACGTGCATTTAAAAAGAGACCTATCAAAATTGGTGAATTTTTGTGTAGCCATTTTAATGTTGAAGATGGAAGAAAAACAACATTTTCGGCATATTATGCTTTATTATTTCAAGAAAGGTAAAAACAACTGAAACGCAAGAAAAAGATTTGTGCAGTGTATGGAGAAGGTGCTGTGACCGATCGAACATGTCAAAAGTGGTTTGTGAAGTTTTGTGCTGGAGATTTCTCGCTGGACGATGCTCCACAGTCGGGTAGACCAATTGAAGTTGATAGCGATCAAATCGAGACATTAATCAAGAACGATCAACGTTATACCACACGGGAGAGAGCCGACATACTCAAAATATCTAAATCAAGTGCTGAAAATCATTTGCACCAGCTTGGTTATGTGAATCACTTTGATGTTTGGGTTTCACATTAAGTTAAGCAAAAAAAACCTTCTTGACTGTATTTCCTCATGTGATTCTCTACTTAAACGTAATGAAAACGTTCTGGTTTTGGGCTTCCCTGGTGGTGCAGTGGTTAAGAATCTGCCTGCTAATGCAGGGGACACGGGTTCAATCCCTGGACTGGGAAGATCCCACATGCCGCAGAGCAACTAAGCCTGCGCGCCACAACTACTGAGCCCGCGCGCCACAACTACTGAAGCCCGTGCGCCTAGAGCCCGTGCTCCGCAACAAGAGAAGCCACTGCAATGAGAAGCTCGTGCACTGCAACAAAGAGTAGCCCCCACTCGCCACAACTAGAGAAAGCCTGTGCACAGCAACGAAGACCCAACACGGCCAAAAATAAAAACAAACGTAAAACGTTCCATTTTTAAAACAAATTGTGACAGGCAACGAAAAGTTGCTACTGTACAATAAAGTGGAATGGAAGAGACTGTGGGGCAAGCGAAATGAACCACCACCGACCACACCAAAGGTCGGTCTTCATCCAAAGAAGGTGATGCTGTGTGTATGGTGGGATTGGGAGGGAGTCCTCTATTATGAGCTAATTCCAGAAAACCAAATGATTAATTCCAACAAGTTCTGCTCCCAATCAGACCAACTGAAAGCGGCACTCGACGAAAAGCATCCAGAATTAGTCAACAGAAAACGCATAATCTTCCATCGGGATAACGCAAGACCACATGTTTCTTTGATGACCAGGCAAAAACTGCTACAGCTTGGCTGGGAAGTTCTGATTCATCAACCGTATTCACCAGACATTGCACCTTAGGATTTCCATTTATTTTGGTCTTTACAAAATTCTCTTAATGGAAAAAAATTCAATTCCCTGGAAGACTGTAAAAGGCACCTGGAACAGTTCTTTGCTCAAAAACATAAAAAGTTTTGGGAAGATGGAATTATGAAGTTGCCTGTAAAGTGGCAGAAGGTAGTGGAACAAAAGGGCAAATACATTGTTCAATAAAGTTCTTGGCGAAAATGAAAAATGTCCTTTATTTTTACTTAAAAACTGAAGGCACTTTTTGGCCAACCCAGTGTTATTTTTTAAATGACCTTTTGTACAGGCATCATGGGCTTTTATTTTGGAAAAGTCAAAATTAAGATGGAAGTAGGCTGGGAGTTCTCATCCTGGGTTGTTATAATATGCGTGGCTTCTGGAAAGGTGTTTGGACAAAAAATGGAGGGACTACAGGAGAGATTTGGAAGAGACTGGTTAGAAGGCAAAAAGAGGCTTGGCTGCTATCCTGAGCCACTCCAAGAACTTGTGAAATGTTTGTAAGACATGCAGTGAGACTGGAAGAGGGGGAGGAACGTGAGTATAGCACAAGAAGGAATAACCTAGTGTGGCTGAGATTGTAGCCAATGCCCAAAGTGGTTCCCGGGGGATTTGGGCATGTGAGTTCTAATCAACAGTTCAGTCCAAACATTGCACAACTGAAGGAAAATTATTTTATCCCTCTGTGTCTTAAAGTATTGAAGAGTAAAAGGAGAATGAAAATGAAGATCTAACCGAAGGATACAGTGTAAAAAAAGAAATAAGATATTCTGTACATTGAATTATAATGAAGACTTGGAAAGGGAAATTAAAAATACAAAAGGGGATGTAAGAAAGAGGGGAAGAGAAAAAAAGGGGTACAGGATGTAAAGCGAGAAGAAATGAAAAAAGTTTTTATAAACTCACCAAGAATGAGAAAAAGAGGGCAGTAGCAGAGAGGAAGTGCCAGATGTCATGGTCATCAAAGAAATCCAGCAGGATACACTCTCGATTCTTCTCTCGGGATTCGGCTGGCGTTCCCTGGAAGAAGGTGAGGCAGGATGTAGTGGGGGCATTCCCACAGTTCAACTCCTTCGAGGGCTGAGTATCCAGAAACCTAAAAAGTCACTACTAGATGCCTAGGTCAAAAAGTTAGCTTCCGGGCTTCCCTGGTGGCGCAGTGGTTGAGAGTCTGCCTGCCGATGCAGGGGACACAGGTTCGTGCCCCAGTCCGGGAAGATCCCACATGCCGCGGAGCGGCTGGGCCTGTGAGCCATGGCCACTGAGCCTGCGCGTCCGGAGCCTGTGCTCCACAAAGGGAGAGGCCACAGCAGTGAGAGGCCCGCGTACCACAAAAAAAAAAAAAAAAAAAAAAAAAGTTAGCTTCCAAGAAAACATACGTCCACACAAAACTTGACCACAGTTGTTCACAGCAGCAGCATTCATAAAAGCCAAGAAGCGGAAACAACTTAAATGTCGATAGACTGCTGAACGGGTAGATAAAATGAGGTATATCCATACAATGGAATATTCAGCAATAAAAACATGAAGTACTGATAACATCTACACATGGGTGAACCGTTATGAAGAGAAGCCAGAGACCACATGTTATGTGATTCCATTTATATGAAATGTCCAGAATAGGTAGATCTGTAGAGACAAAAGATAGATTAGTGGTTGCCTAAGGCTAAGGGGTTAGGGAGAAATGGTGATTGACTGCTAACGGATGCAGGTTTTTTCCTGGGGTGATAAAAAGGTTCTAAAGTTGCCTGTGGTGATTATGGTGATGGAGAGCTAAGACTTCTTCCCTGTTCTGTGCCTCAGGTACATCAGCAGTTTCCTAGGCCTCAGCTTTCCTATCTGTGAAATGGATTTATAAACACCTGCACCTGTGTATTTGTTTATGGACGGTGACTATGATAAGGTGGAGAAGATACACTAAGCAAGGTTCCTGTACGTATTAAACATCCACTGGGAATGACACATAATGAAGATCACGTTTGCAGTGTTGGTAGAGCTTCGTTTTTAAGAGGTGCCACCCTGATAATGATGACATGCCATTTATTGAGCAGTCACGTGTGGATATTGAAAACCATCCCCTTTAGAGAAAGCATTCATGTCAGAGAACATAAAAAAGATAAGCACATGAAGAGAGGGAGGTAGGAAGGTCAGAAAGGCAAGGTGGAGAGAGAATGTCATCCTGGAAAAGAAAATTGCCCTCTTACCTCCCAGCTGCTGAGATTCTGGAAGAAAAAATACAAGGCAGCGGCCCACACTGCAGCGGTGGCAACGATGCAGAAGAGCGGGATCAGGAGGATCTTCTCGGAGCTGCGAAGCTGTGGGTGAGAAGCGCTGCTGCCAAGCTGCACGCGTCACCCGAGGAGGGCCCGCGGTGCCCGGCTCCCAGCCGCCACTCTTACCTTCATGATGACGTAAAAGGTCAGGTAGAGCAGCAGGTTACAGATGAAGATGCCCAGCATGTAGGAGGCAAAGTCCCTGGGTCGATAGATCAGTCCAAAGAGGGCACTGAGCACACAGAGGAATTATTTTGTAGCTATGAAGGTGGATTTGTAACATTATTGGCTTTTTCACTCCCACACCCCCATTTCTGGTGGGAGGGGAATTTAAAAATGTTGTAAGTAACTTTCAATTCATTACGTCTTCCTCAGAACATTCATTTTTAACGATTGTGAGGTTCCTATCAGTGGATGTACCATAAGCAATCATCCTACCTCTCTAGTTGAAATGAAGAGTTTTCTCTTTGTCCTTCCGTTGTGCACTATTATTAAAAACTGCAACAATAAATACCTTCAGATATATTGTGCTTTTTTTTTCTTTTTGCATTTAAGATGGTTGGAATAGATTACTAGAGATAGAATTATCTCAATACTTGGCTTGACACACATTACCAAATTTTTGCTAGCTGTCTAAATTAATACTGAAGTTTATTTTGGTTGGGGTTTGGCCTTAATTTTGCTCCAAATTTATATTCTGTTCTAACAAAAGTCTTTATTATACAGCCCTTTCTTATCTCCTGGTTTTGAAAGCTTGTGTTTAATACAGACACACCATGCACATATGTATATAGTTGGCTTTCTGGCCTCTTCATCCTGATTCACTAATTTATAATTTCTAGTTTTGGAGCAGTGGCTCATCGTGTTATTGTTGTTTTATAATATGTTAGATTATCTAACAAAGGTTAGGCTAGCTTGCACTATCCAATGTGGTAACCACATGTGGCTATTTAAATAAAAGTTAATAAAAATTAAAAAAAAATTGAAAATTCATTTTTTCAGTCACACGACATTTCAAGTACTCAATAACCACAAGTGGCTAATAAACACATCATTCCAGAAAGTTCTATTGAATAATGCTGGGCTGTCACTATACACCTCTGCCCCTCCTTTCTCCGGTTAACCTTTTGCAGAGACCTTTGACAATTTTGTCTAACTAGGTAAATAATTTCAGAATAAAATCCTATTAACTTCATTCCATTTCTAATTCTAAATTTACACATTAACTTGAGAATTGTTATCTTTACAATAGTTAATCTTCTCACCCAGGGCATGCCGTCTTTCTTCATTTAGCTAAGTTTTTTTCTATCTCTCCTGATAAGGTAATTAAATTTTCTGCAGAAAGATTCCACACATCTCTCAAAGTTTATTCCTAAGTATTTCAAGTGGAAAGCTGTTATTAATGGAGTGTTTTTGTTCATTTTTTTTAAAATTTATTCTTTATTGAAGTATAGTTGATTTACAATGTTATGTTAATTTCTTCTGTACAGCAAAGTGACTCAGTTATACACATCTATGCATTCTTTTTAATATTCTTGTCCATTATGATTTGTCCCAGGGTATTGAGTATAGTTCCCTGTGCTATACAGTAAGACCTTGTTGTTTATCCATTCTGTATGTAATAGTTTGCATCTACTAACCCCAAACTCCCACTCCATCCCTTCCCCACCCCCCTACACTTGGCAACTACAAGTCAGTTCTCTATGTCTGTGAATCTGTTTCTGTTTCGTGAATCTGTTTCTGTTTCGTGAATTTGTGCCATATTTTAGATTCCACATGTAAGTGATATCATATGATATTTGTCTTCCTCTTTCTGACTTAGTATGATAATCTCTAGTTGCATCCATATTGCTGCAAATGGCATTATTTCAGTTTTTATGGCTGAGTAGTATTCCATTGTATATATGTACCACAACTTCTTTATTTATTCATCTGTCAATAAACATTTAGATTGTTTCCATGTCTTGGCTATTGTGAGTAGTGCTTCTATGAACATTGGGGTGCATGTATCTTTTTGAATTATAGTTTTCTCTGGATATATGCCCAGGAGTGGGATTGCTGGATCATATAGTAATTCTATTTTTAGTTCTCTGAGGAACCTCCATACAGTTTTCCATAGTGGCTGAACCAACTTACATTCCCACCAACAGTGTAGGAGGGTTCACTTTTCTCCATACCCTCTCTAGCATTACTTATTTGTAGACTTTTTAATTATGGCCATTCTGACCATTGTGAGGTAGTTTTGATTTGCATTTCTCTAATAACTAGTGATGCTGAGCACCTTTTCATGTGCCTATTGGCCATCAGTATGTCTTCTTTGGAGAAAAGTCTATTTAGGTCTTCTGCCCATTTTTTGATTGGGTTCTCTTTTTGTTATTGAGTTGTATGAGCTGTTTATATACTTTGGAAATTAAGCCCTTTTGGGTCGCATTGTTTGCAAATATTTTCTCCCATTCCATAGGTTGTCTTTTTGTTTATGGTTTCTTTTGCTGTGCAAAAGCTTGTAAGTTTGATTAGGTCCCATTTGTTTATTTTTGTTTTTATTTCTATTGCCTTGGGAGACTGACCTAAGAAACTTTGGTATGATTTATACCAGAGAATGTTTTGCCTATAATCTTTTCTAGGAGTTTTATGGTGTCATATCTTATGTTTAAGTCTTTAAGGCATTTTTAGTTTATGTTTGTGTATGGTGTAAGGATGTGTTCTAACTTCATTGATTTACATGTGGCTATCCAGCTTTCCCAACACCACTTACTGAGAGACTGTCTTTTACCCATTGTATAATTTTGCCTCCTTTGTCAAAGATTGATTGACCGTAGGTGTGTGGGTTTATTTCTGGGCTGTCTATTCTGTTCCATTGATTCATATGTCTGTTTTTGTGCCAGTACCCCACTGTTTTGATTGCTGTAACTTTGTAGTATTGTCTGAAGTCTGGGAGGGTTATGCCTCCTGCTTTGTTCTTTTTCCTCAGGATTGCTTTGGCAGTTCTGGGTATTTTATGGTTCCATATGAATTTTAGGATTATTCTAGTTCTGTGAAAAATGTCATGGGTAATTTGATAGGGATCACGTTAAATCTGTAGATTGATTTGGGTAGTATGGCCATTTTAAGAACATTAATTCTTCCAATCCAAGAGCATGGGATATCTTTCCATTGATTGTTAAATCTGATTGCAGACTTGGGTTTGATTTTAGTTCTACTAGAGGCAGGGACAAGCTAGGTGATTCTGACCCTGCAGACTCTATCATCAGCTGTTCAGTATCGTATCTCCTATCAACACCCTCCATCCTGTCTTACAGAGTCGCCAGGACTGTGGGGTCTTCCCTAAAAGGGTGGCCGAGAGAACATCGCAGGTGACCACGGCCAAGAATCACCCATCCTGACGTGTCCCTGAGTAAAGGACAGTCCTTCACAGGTATGGACCTTCCCCAAGGTAAACCCTGGGGCAACAATATTGTGGGAAGTTTCTTCCAGAAGCATGTGGCCCTGAAATAAGATTCAAATTCTCATGACTTGATTCTGGCTTTCCCTGATGGTGTGCTTATTTCTTTGCATCTGGTATCTTTTTTTTTTTTTTTTTTTTTTTGATACGCGGGCCTCTCACTGCTGTGGCCTCTCCCGTTGCGGAGCACAGGCTCCGGACTCACAGGCTCAGCGGCCATGGCTCACGGGCCCAGCCGCTCTGCGGCATGTGGGATCTTCCCGGACCGGGGCACGAACCCGTGTCCCCTGCATCGGCAGGCGGGCTCTCAACCACTGCACCACCAGGGAAGCCCTGCATCTGGTATCTTAAAGGGAGGAGGAGTAGGGTGTCACCTTTCTATCAAAGGTCACTGACCCAGAGGAGCACATCAGCTAAGAACCACTAATAAAAGCAGCTCAACATACTTATTTTTTGAGGGATCAATAAAACATCTCACTCATTCACATTTTTAAGTTAAGAATAAGTTGCAAAAAATAGATACATAAAATACAGCTAGCATAATTGTACTTCTGTTGCACTGTTCTACTTAGAGGTCATTTGAGGAAACAAGACCAAGGTGATAATGAGGGAAAAGAAAAGGAAGAAAAATGATATAGGCAGAGTAAGAAGATTGAGACCTGGAGGGAAAGAAAGAAATGAGAAAGACACACACACACACACACACACACACACACGCACACACACACACACACACACACACACACACACACACACACACCCCTAGTAAGAAAGAGAAATGCCTACTGGGTAGCCTTTATGGAAAATTCTAAAAAGAGTTTAAAACTGTTGCATTTTTGCTGCTGCTGGCATAATTAGTCTCTCTTTATATATATGTGTGTATGTGTGTATATGCATATATATCCAATCTAATTTATCCATCTAGATATAGCAAATTTGATGTTTGTCTTGTTGAACAAATGAGCTCAAGGCATCAGTGTGTTGAACTCATTGCTTTAAGGGAGACAACTATTGGTACACAAGAGCTTCCTAGTGCATTCTTTGCAGGATGAAAAGTAGCTTTCTTTCAAGTCACTAGAACAAGCACAGTCCTATGCTCTCCTTAATTTAAGACTTCTTTATAAAAATGACAGCCAAGGAAAGCTAAACCACGGTGTTACAGAGAAATTAATAAAGAGAAAAACGTGTTTTCCTAAGACTACTTACAAGGACCAGTTAACCAGATTCCCCACGATGAGCAATACCATTCTGTCCTGGAAAGGAGGAAAGAAAACATCAAATGAGGGGCCGCACATACTGCTTTTTAAAAAACTTACCATAGGGGAAGCATCAATTATGGAAAAACAATTGCCTTGGTGGAAACAATTTTTCTATAGTTTTAAGAGAGCTGTGCCTATGACTGGAAAGTCCTCTACGAGGACTAAATGGCAAAGCCTCTGACTGCAAACAGACGTGACCTCGTCCCTGTAAAAGAAAGCCTGGTGAATAAAGCAGAAGTCTTGCTGTTTTCCCCCCAGTTTTTAAAGGAGCTGGGCGCCTGGGCCCACCTCTTGGCGGGAAGGCTGGTGGTATGTGCTGATTACTCAGTAGTTAAAAGAATTCTGCCACTACTGTTCTGTAACCAAGGACTCTTTCCCTGGGTTGTGTTAACTGGTGGGCCCTAAGGCAGCTCTTGGGATGCACCTGGAATTAGTTTCATTATTCTGGCTCCAAGGAGGTCCTGCAGCTCCCAGGCTCCTGGTTTCTAAACACATGGCCTTATTAAGATTAAAGTTATTGGGGCTTCCCTGGTGGCGCAGGGAAATATCTTCCTTTTAAAAAAATGAATTCACCTACTAGAAAAGCCAAAATCCAAAACACTAACAACACCAGTTGCTCATGAGGATGTGGAACTCTCATTCATGGCTGGTGGGTACGCAGAATGGTCCGACCATTTCGGAAGACAGTTTGGTTGGCAGTTTCCTAGAAAACTAAACATACTTTTACCGTATGATCCAGCAGTTGTGCTCCTTGGTATTTACCCAGAGGAGCTGAAAACGTGCCTATACAAAAACCTGCCCACAAAATTTTATAGCAGCTTTATTCATAATTGCCCAAACTTGGAAGCAACCAAGATGTCCTTCAACAGGTGAACGGATAAATAAACCGTAGCACATCCAGAAAGTGGAATATTAGGACTAAAAAGAAATGAGGGCTTCCCTGGTGGAGCAGTGGTTGAGAGTCCGCCTGCCGATGCAGGGGACACGGGTTCGTGACCCGGTCCGGGAAGATCCCACATGCCGCGGAGCGGCTGGGCCCATGAGCCATGGCCACTGAGCCTGCGCGTCCGGAGCCTGTGCTCTGCAATGGGAGAGGCCACAGCAGTGAGAGGCCCGTGTACCGCAAAAAAAAAAAAAAGAAATGAGCTAGCAAGCCATGAAAAAACATGGAGGAAACATAAGTGCATATTATTTCAGCCAATCTGGAAAGGCCGCATACTATATTATTCCAACGATATGACGTTCTGGAAAAGGTAAGACTAAGGAGACACTAAAAAAGACCAGTGGCTGCCAGGGGTTGGGGAGGAGGGGCAGGTGGAAAGAACAGGTGGAGCACAGAGGGTTTTTAGGGCAGGAAAACTACTCTACCTTCTTTGATACTATAATGATGAATATATGTCATCACAAACTCGTCAAGAAAACCATAGAATGTACAACACCAGGAGTGAATTGTAATGTGAAGTATAGACTTTGAGTGATTATGATGTGTTAACATAGGTTCACGGACTAGCAAATGCACCTCTCTGGTGAGGGTGTTGATATGGGGAAGCTGCGTCTGTGTGGCGGAGGGGCATACGGGAAATCTCTGTATTTTCTTCTCAATTTTTCGGTGCACCTAAAAAAACTAAAAACTCTTAAAATGCTCTAAAAATAGTCTGTTTAAAAAAAAAAGACAGCCTGCATCAATTAATGTAAAAAACACCAGAAACACTAATTTCCCCTTATGGTTCACAGCTGAGGCATTCTTATCTCTCCTAATACTCACAGGTCCTAATGGGCTTTTAAGTTCTCCCCTGAGTAAAACCCTCCAGCTTCAATTCAATTTTTAGTGCCTATAGCTCCTGCCCAAGCTCTACTGGGCTTAAAACATTCCCAGGTTCCTTTATGTAAAATTCCTTCTGATTATAAACTATCAGCAGGAATTTAGTGAATGCCTGTGTGCCAGGCCCAAACGGCATCACTAGTTCTGATCACAGCACGGGGTAAAGGCTGGGGCAGTGGCTCAGAGGAGGTATGTAGCCTTCCCAAGGTCACTGGCCAGCAAGCCAAGGCAGCTGGGAGCAGGGCTGATCCCAGCTCAGTGTAGAAACTACACTGATCCCTCCGCTCAGTGTAGAAATGTGTAATACATTGAAAACCATACGGTAGAATTTTTAAAAGTGTATTTCTGCCATCAAGCAATGGCTATGATTTTGAAAAAGCATTCGTGCTCATTGTAAAAGTCAAACAATGTATAAAAAGCAAACAAATGTATAATGTGGAAAGTTCCTAATGAAAGTGATTGGAGTGATCATATGTCCCTAGTTTGCCTGGGACAGTCCAGGTGTCATTAGGAATAGTTATTATTATTAATAATTATTATTATTAATTATTATAATAATTATTATTAATAATTGACTTTCACAAGTGAAATAATCATACCTCTTTGGATGATTATTTATAGGGACACCCTATCTGGATCCTCCCTCCTCCAGCAATCATCACTTTGATAGTTTTGTGTGTGTATATACATACATATGTTCTTTATATACTAGCAATTTTTCATGTGCAAAAAAGGAACCATCCCAGCATGTCTTTTAAGAGTGAGAAGGGGAAGCAAGATGCCTCTTCCCTCACTAACTGGACTTCAGCCACGCTAGGCCATCTGGCCCTCTTGGTTTGGGGAGCCTTGTGTGACTACCCCGAGCCTGCCCCTCCTGCTGTCCTCCTGTTGTCTGGGAGAAGGCCAAGGCACACAGGAACACACACTCACCATATAGAGAGGCCGGCTGCACTGCCGGATGCAGTCTGTGTAGAACACCATAGCGGCCCGTCGGAAAATTCCCAAATCTGCTGATGACACAATTGCACGGTGAGAAGGCTTGGTCAGAGATAATCCAGAACACTCCCCTTTGGCCCAAGCTTTTGCGGCCAGGATGATGTCACCTCATAAAAGCCATGCTTTGTCCCTAATAGGTCAGCAATAAATGTTTGCTTTAAAAGATGCCACCCACAGCTGCCTGGGCTTTCGTGGCAGGTGTGCTCTATCCGTGCAGCATTCCCGCAGAAAGGCAGGCAAGATGGACACAAGGAACAAGCACTCGCAAACCATTTGGGGGGCTGGCCAACCCTCCTATGGTCTCCTTCAGCTAAGTTTCCCTCTGTTGATGGTTTAGTGTTTTCTTTACAGCAGAGATGTATGGGGACTCTCAAAAGTCACCTTAACACATCTGCTCTCTCTAGACCATGGGAAATCTTAGCTTGTAAAAATTCGAATCTGTGTTTCTCAGTGTGGTTATAAGTCAGTAAGAATTGAACCAGGGGACAGTGGGGTCTACTAAGCATGTTCAGAAAGCCTGTACATATGATGATTGTTATATGAGCAGGGTCAGGGCCCCAGGTGGGGCTGTCATTCTGTGGGCCATCCACACAGAGATGTCACGGGCAAAGCTGGGGTCTTCCTGAAGTGAGCATTTCAGTAAGGGTGGACCCCAGCTCTGCTGTGCTGCCGTTCCTCTTCAAGGCTACCCCTGGGGTCAATTTAAGCAGCGTTCATTAGACTAGATACATTGGGGGGTGGGGGCGTGGGCGTGTCCATGCACTAGCCCAGAAGAGGCGCGTTGCGGGCTGGGTTGGGGTGCATCCCTGCCTCTGAGCCTCTCTCCAAACCCCCTGTCCACCAAATCCTGCCCAATCTGCAAGGTGTTCAGAAAGCAGAGTTGGCAGGTCAGTCAGGCAGGTTGCTTTGTTAAGGAAACAATGTAGAAAACCCTGGGGAGGGTGGCTGAACGTTACCTGTGTCAGACACATCTGAATCAGTGGGAAGCAGAGAATTGAGGAGAGAAAAAAAGATTTGTAAGAAGGTAGCCAAACAGGTAAACTACTGGTCATTTTATTTTTCTCTCGAAACAGATGACTTTAATTTTGTTTTCTGATTACAAAAGTAATGTCTTCTCGTAAAGAACACAGACTCCTTCTGCCTGTCTCAAACGTTCAGAAGTTCACTATTCTTCGAAGCGTGAATCAGACTTTCCTCTCTCCCTGTGTACTTTTGTGCACCACTGGCAACTTATAATCCATCCTCTGCCTGTGGTCCTTTTCGGGAAACAAGAGGCACGACGGTGATCTGGACAAGTAGCTCTACAGTTTTCTGTCCTGCTTATGAAATGCTCTGCCTCATTGCTACTGCCTTTCCTCGTGTCCACTTTAATTTTCCTGTGTGGCCTAAGGGCCCCAGAGAAAGGAATCTGTGATTTGAGAAAGCAAAGGCAGCTTATGGAATGGGCAGAGAGGTTGGTGTTGCCTGAACCACTGTCCACTAACCCGACTTCCTGCCTTTGGACTAAATGTAGATGCAATTGTCACAATGTTTTCCTTTTGACTTTGGTAAATCCGTAACCACTTGGGGGAGACTCCCTAGGTACAGAAATTTTAAATGTTGGGTTAAGTTGTGTGAGGGTTATCTTCCCTTTGCCCCTCCAGACTCACCTGCCATGTCTCTCTGTCCTCACCATGCCCGGGGAGGCTGACTGCAGGGACCACTCAGTGGGTTCCCTCGCTCCCCTTGGATTTGGACAATGAGAAACGCCAGCAGGAGACTGGAGGGACAGAGGAAGGAGAGTGAGCCCAGAGTACTATCTGTCTGGTGCCTTCCCTGTGAGGTTGCCTGTCTGTTAGCCAAAGGTCACTGCTCCACGCTCATGGAGGAAGGTGACTTTCTCTCCGTGATGCCCTCCTTCCATGTTTTGGTAACCACTTCCTCTATGCCCTTTTGGGCTTGTGGGTAGTAAAAGCTTCTCTGCTACTAACCCCAGGTTACTGTGCTACCCCTTTCATTCTTCCCCACCCCACCCCTGTCCTATGAAGAGTCCCTCTGTGAATAAATCTTTTGTCTTTGTATGTGATAGCTTTTTCCTGTTGGGACCCTGACAAACTAGTACATGGTTATAATAGACTACATTCAATTTCTCCTTTTTTAAAAAGGTAAATTAATTCAGTATTGCAAAGTTGCATGGGGCCAAGGTGGTATAAACATTTTAAAAGCTCCTCTATGTATTAATGGTCACTACCATTACATATATCTGTATTCAAGTTTATTTTTCCAACTTGCAAAACCCAGAGGAACAGTGCCTAACTTATGTTCCTTTTGAGAGTTTAGTTTGTATGACTTCATTCACCTTTGAGTGTGGAGGATGGAGCACGAACAGAGTGCTGTACCAAATGTTCTACCCAACCAGCTATTGATGCTTCCACTGGGGGCAGCTGGAGGTATACTGGCTATGTTAACACCAAGAGTTAATCTACTGACCATGCCAAAAGGAAAAACTAAACTGCCAAAATGAGAGATTGTTTTATTTGGTCTCCTAGTCTTAAAGCCACTTGTTTATATAGAATCGCTCTTAGATCTGGGCAACAGGGGTGCCGTATTTTAAAGGCCCTCGTTCCCCAGTGACTGAGGAGTCTGCAGGGCAAGGGGGCTGCTTCTTCTAGGCCACATTCTGAATTCCTGGACCCAAGAATTCCCTGTCCTGAGGGCCTTGAGCCCGCTCTCAGAGCCTGCATAGGTCCCTTGCCTGGTTTGTCTTCCTGAGGGCAGATAGCACCACTAGAGTATGCACTTCTAGGGGCAAGGAATGGCCAATTGGATGTTAGACAAGGGTGTCCATATGCATACCTGTGAGACCCCTTAAGATGCAGGACAGAGCCAGAGGTGAGAAGAAAAGAGGGGCAGGGGTTGGGGACCAGCTCTCCTGTATAGCTATGTTCTGGAGTACTCTTCCATGCACCTGAGAATTTTAAATTTGAACTTGTACCTTGTAGGTTGTAATGAAGGTATATTTATCAGCTTCTTGGCCTTCCTTCTTTCTTCCTTCCTTTCTTCCATATATTTAATACTTTTTTCCTCTGCTTTATAACTTAAACATTTTTATACATATGGTAAGTGGCCTTTTATTTACGGTCTTGCCTTGGGCTCTGCAAATATTAGGGATAGGCCTAGTTTATATATATATTGGTTTTTCTTGAAATATACAAATGAATCTTTGAGTCTGACTTCCCGGACTTTAAAATGATGGGTGAAATTTAGATGCTCTGAAATGACTTGCACCCGCTCAAATGTATGCTGACTGACCAAGAGCAGATCAGAAGCTGATTTCCACAGAACACTTGGTGATCTAACGTGATACGTTCATGCCGTCAGAGGGCGTTCGGCAGGTGTCCTGCCTCTAAGATTGGCAAGTTGGTCTCCAAAACTTCCAGCCCCAGAATTTGAAAATAATATAGAATTTATTCTTGTTAACCATTTAGGATGGTTAGAGAAATGCTCCTTTTAAGTGCTATGAACTGAAAAACATTCTTCTCGGTGGAACTAGCGGTGTGATGATCATACTGTTCTACAAACGCACTTTCAAAGTTTGGTGAATTGTAAAGCTTTGGGGACTTGGAGTTGGAAGGATGCCTCAGCTCTGAGCTAGCTTAGTGTCTCAGTTGAAAACAGAACTAATGATAGTAGATTGTTGCTGTCTTATACAGGAGAGGAAGCTCTTGGAGAGAATATATGCTATTAAACACACAGAATTCAGAGCAAGCGTTCACGGTGACAAGTAACACTTCCGTTTAGGATAGGCAAGACAATCCTTTCTCAGGGTAAGTTAATCAGCATGTTTAGTATAGAGTAACAGGTGACTCACCTATCTTGAAACGACCCATGTAGTAGATCTGGGTGCTGAGGGCCAGAGAAGCCAGAATATGGATTGCAGAGAAGATGACCCAGAACAACCACAGGTCATTTTTCCCAAACACCTAGGAGTAAAGATGGAAGTTACCTTCATCTGGGTTTTTGTTTTTTCCCCAGAGAACTTACTAAAATTGTTTCATCTCTCGTGTATGCCTAAGGTGTCAAAAACCTAGCTGTGTGTGAATTTTGGGTTTTCTCCCTTCTCTGATCTCACAGGGATCTTACTGCAGCCAGGGCTGGAAAAAGAATGGCTACCTGGCCAAATGAAAAAGAAAGAAATGGAAAAGGGAAGGAATGGGTGAGGCAGCTGAACAGCAGGTGAAGAGGCAGTAGGTCTAAAGCTGGGAGCTAATGCTCTTCAAATAACAGAAGACGACTGACGCATGTGCACGCACATTTAGAAAGTGGTTTTTGTCCTTTCAAGTCAGTCTCTCTCCCATCAGCCTGTACATCTCTATTCCAGTCTCACCCGAGTCAGGTCTCAGCTTTGTATTAACACTGTCCAGGGGCAGTGTTCCAGGGGCCTGTTACATTATTAAAAATTCTAGCTCAGTAACTAAAATGCTATGAACGGACCAATGATGAGAGTGTGTCATGAGCCAAGGATTATGATTAGTTAAACCTGTTCACCTGGGGTCCAAAAAACAAAATACAAAGCCTCCCAAGAGGGCTGCCAGCTGTGGGGAGGGACGCACCACTCCAAGGACGGTGAGCGTGATGACCAGGGCGAAGGAGATGTAAGCAGCGTAGGCACTGGCGTTGATGTCTGGGTGGCGGGTCTGATAGAGCTTCAGCATGCAGAGGCCGGCGATTATGTACATGAAGGAGGTGTCTGAGGAGAAGCCGAGACAATCGAGATCCAGTAGGTGGCAGACAGACCTCTCTTCAGCCTCAGAGAACCCCTCCCTTCAGGCCTTGGAGTATTTGCTGCCCTCAGCCTGTGTGGTGACCTCCAACACGCCAGCCTCTCCAGGCACATTCTAGGTAAACCCTACACACTCCACCTCTCACCCCCTCCAAGAGGGGCATTCCTAGCTCCCAGAAGAAAAGTATCAGATGATATGATGAATAATTGCCTATCCCCACTCGCAGGGCTATGTGTGTATAAACGCTCCTGTCCAACAACAACAAAAGAATCCCTAATGGGAACAGGGCAGTGTGACAATAAAAAGAATCCTACGTGGGTGCAGGAGGTCCTTCTCAGTATACTGAAACATAACCACATTGATTACTGCTCATATACAAGTCTTTCTAGCCTAGGGATAGAAGACAGCTAGAAATTCCATGTGGCTTAGCTGCATGGGGGTTAAGGAAATGCAAGTTAAAACAGCCATGCAATGTCCCACGTTACTAAAAAATGGGGCAAAAGTGTAAATGTCTAATAATAACACGTGTTAGTGATGATAAGGGGGAAGTGGAAACTCTCACTCAGCCAGTGGGAGTGGGAATTAATATTCTGGGGAGAAAGTTGGCTGTTTTTGGTAAAATGGAAGATGCATCAACCAGGACCATGTGACCCCAAAATTCTACTTCTAGGTATTCCAGGGAACCTCCCTCACATGTGTGCAACAGGCATAGATGAGGCTAGTCATTGTAGCACTGTCTGTACTAGCAGAATATTGGCAACCTCTAAGTGTTGTTCAATAGAGGAATTGATGAATGTGGTATATTTTTATTACAGAATGACAATCTTTAAAAATGAATGAACTGGATATCCGTGGTTTAATACCAATAAATCTTGAAAACATTGTTGAATGAAAAAAGAAGGATGCCGAACGAAGTGTGAGAAATTAATATTAATTTGTTACAAATGAAGAAAAACTATAAAAACAAACTGGAAGGATAAATATAAAATTAATCACAGCTGTTGCTTCTAAGGAAGGGGAGAGTTGATAAGTTTAGAAAACAGTTCAAAATGGGACCTCAACTTTACACAATGTTTTATTTCTTAAAGTAGATTTAAGGCAAATATTTTAAAGTGTTGGCATTTGTTCCTTCTGAGTGGTGAATGATATTATTCTCTATAGTTTTCCTCTATTAAAAATGTCTTCTAATTTAAACAAACTAAAACGTGATGGAGAATTTCTGTGGTGTTGTGAGTTAATAGCCAGAGGCTAGAGCACAAACACAAAATAACTGTTTTTAAAAACCTCATCCTCGAGTGTGGAGGACATTGTTAATTGCCTTCTTCCAGCATCAGCTATTCCCTTTCTCCATCCTAACAGCATCTCGATACCAACTCAAATATCTCAGCCCCATTTTCTATTCAGAAATGCACACCCTCCCAGACCACTTGCTTCAGGAAGGCTAACCGCACCCCTGGTTCCAGGGAAGGGTCTCATTGGTCTAAAGGTAACCTCACCTCCTTTGCCACCGTGACTGGGGTAGCAATGCTGGCCCGAGCTAACCCTCATACAGAGAAAGATTCTGGAGTAAGCTCAGGGCTGTGTAAGCTGTGGAGGCGTGAGGGGCTCTTATCTGGGGAGTTTGGGGGAAAGAAGTTTCCTGCTCTCAAATGAAGGCTCCTGGAAGCCAGCTCGCTGCTTTCTCTAGACATCATGGTGCGGAGACAGGAAGCCAAGACCTGCTGTAGCTATTTCTGCCACCACGAGGGAAGGCAGCCTGAGGAGACCACCAGTGTGCAGGCTGGGTGCAACAAAGGGGATCACGGAGAAGCGGAGCCAGAGCCACCAGACAAATTACCCACAAGGCCATTCCACCTCTGTACGTTCGGCTGGTGCGCTGATGAGTGTACTTATTATTTAATCCAATTCGAATTGGGTTTTCTATTACTTTCAACCCAAAACAGGCAAACTGCTAAATTAAGCCAAGCTACACTGAGGGAGATTTCTAGATGTCTGTTGGTGGTTTCTACCTGACCTGCTGCCTGACACTTAGCCCATTGCCCACCTGCAGATCTAGCCATGAGATCAGTACCCGGTGTTCGCTCTTTTGTAGTCTATAAACGGTGGTCAGAGAGGAAAAAACGGTACAATGTGGGGAAACCATGCCCTGTGGTGAGGTGCCCTCAGATCACTTCACGTAAAATGTCATTTAATTCTTGCAAGCACGACCTTGGCATTTCTGAGAGGGTCCCAGGATAAGACTCCTATAACTCAAATCTGTGTAGCTGATGTAAATTCGAATTACCGAATTGGAAGTTGGAGTAATTAGGGCAGACATGGTAACAGGCACTGAGCACCCCTTCCGTCATCAGTGCGATGCCCATAGCATAGAAGAGACCGAAGTGCTTGGGAATCCCATACTCCTGAAAAAGCAGAAAGCTTGGTCAGTGGAAAGATACTCCTTAGTGACTCAGCCACAGAACCGGGACGCCCATGCTCTGGCCTCGTGTGGTCCATGACACGTAATCCATTGTCACACCGTCTAGCCAGATGTCCCTCCTCTTTGCAGATCCCGTTTGGAACCATAACCCTTCCTAGCTCTCACCTCCCTCGTCCCACCCTCTCCTCACCATGGCAAAGATGTCCTTGGCCTCCAGGGCTCTTCGATGGAGAATGTCCCGGCGCAAGACTATCAGCAGGAAGAGGCAGCCCAGGAGCATGTGGCCCAGGTTACTGAGAATGTTGTTGAAGGCACTAAGGGGATGACAGAGAGACCATGAGAGAGTCAAGGTATCAAAGAGCTTTAGAGACTGAATGAAGGCATGGATGAGCGAGTGAAATCAGCATTCAGTGTTTTCCACTGCTAACCTTTCCATAAGATTTCAGGACCGAGATCATCAGAAAGCATCTTTAACCTAATGCCACGTTAGGATGCTTAGCCTGTGATAATGTGTCCGTTTCCTCTCAGGGATGCCTGCTTAGCTTCCCTAACACCCACTCAATCCTCCCTTGTGCTGATGGCAGTAGCGGGGAATGAATCCTAGGAAAGAGAGTCGCTCCACAGATGGGCAGTTGGGCCGAGCGTTTCAGCTACACTGTGACAGTGAATTCACATAGATGGACGGGCCCACGTTATGTGTCCATACTCAGCTCTGTAACCATGAATTTCAGGATGAGCGTCAACTGGTCACAGCCAGCAGATTTATTTAAGGAAACTGAGACTAGTTCAGTTCTGGATCGAGAAGCCAGGCTCACAACTCCCAGGCAAATGCTCTCTGCACTTCGCATGTTCTGGAGGCTGGAGCATGGCCTTGGAGGCAGCAGGCCCCGGTGTGAGTCTCGACATCACTAACGAGCTGAGGGACCTTCCGCAAGTCCTTACCTTTCTAACTGAGCCTTAACGTCTTCATCTAAAAACGGGGGTAATAATAATCCTATCTATCTCACAAGGTTGTTTAACGGATTGAATGTACTAGGAGCTCATGCCCATGGGTGAGGGTCATCACAGCTAAGGACCTGGTATTTTCAAACACATCTCTGCCTTCTCCTCAGGACTGTTTCCTGAGGCCCCCATACAGGAATGGAAGAGGCATACCTGATCTCAACTTCCTGATTTCATTCCTCTCTACCCTTGATTGGGGTGCTTTTCCACAACTGTTTCTAGTATTTTTAAAAACTGAAATCGTCACATTACACAGAAAGGCATCTCTCATTGCCTCAGAGGACTGGGCTTACCTCAGGACACCCCAGGGGTGAGCGCAGAGGAAGTTGTAGTAGCAGATGTCCTGGTTACCAGTGACATTGACTATCTGTAAAACCAAGAGTGAAAAGAGGAGATGCTGTTTTCCTCCACCCCCTGAGCCTGAAATCACAAAAAGTGGACAGTGCTCACAGCGATCAACTGTCGGTGATGTACAGCGTAACCAGCGCCCCTTCTCAGCAGGGGATGGGTCGTTATCTTCAGCCTTTCCACAGTATAGACACATTTCCTTTCAATGCTGCCATCTTGCTTTGAATTGAAATATTCCGTGTCCCTCCTTATGTGGCCTCACAGCAGAATGCAACTGAGTATGTTTCCTTTGTTCTCATTATAAAAGGATTTTGAGAGGATGCTAACATTGGGAACTGCCTATTAGGATGGTCGTGGTACATCCTATGTTCTAGATGACTCCTGGGAGGGTAAGGAGCTGTTCCATCCTCTGTGTGGAAATGGTAACCACAGGGCAGGTGGACATAAGGAGATGTGTGGTCAGTTGTCCATAGTTATCACTATCGCTATCGTTAAGAACCTTCCTAGATCACAGCATAGCTGTATCTTCTGACAGCACCAAAGTATTCAGAGAATATTTAGATTATAAATGGTGGTGCTCAAGGCTTATAAAGTCCTCGTCCTCATCACGTATTAAGTATGGAAGGTGAAATATTATTAAACTCCTGGCTCTCAAACTTGGCTGTACACTGGAATCACTGGGAGTTATCAATACTGATGCCTGGGGCTTCCCTGGTGGCGCAGTGGGTGAGAATCTGCCTGCCAATGCAGGGGACACAGGTTCGAGCCCTGGTCTGGGAGGATCCCACATGCCGCGGAGCGACTGGCCCTGTGAGCCACAACTACTGAGCCTGCGTGTCTGGAGCCTGTGCTCCGCAACAGGAGAGGCCGCGATAGTGAGAGGCCCGTGCACAGCGATGATGAGTGGCCCCCGCTTGCCGCAACTAGAGAAAGCCCTCGCACAGAAACGAAGACCCAACACTGCAAAAATAAATAAATTAATTAATAAACTCCTACCCCCAACATCTAAAAAAAATACTGATGCCTGATTCCACTCTGATCTAACTGGTGTGGGGTACAGCTTGGACACTGGGATTTTTAAAAGTCCCCCAGATGATTTTAATGCAAAGTTTGAGAACCATTGCATTAGAAATACCTTTAGCCTGGTGCTGTTCTAACTGGGCTTTTTCATGTGTAATAGATCCCAGACGGGATCCCTTAAGTGACCTGGACCCTAGGGTTCTGTGAAGGTGCAGTGGGGATTCTCAAGCTATTTTAATTATTGTTTTTGTCTGTTTTTTATTTATTTTATATTTTCTTTTAATATTTCATTAGTATTGTGAAGCTGTTCTTACTTTTACAAAACATATTTACCCTCAATGACAGGACACAGGCTAAATTAGACATCAGGTTTCTTTGTTTTGATCGGCAACTTTACTCATCATCCCATGATGATCAAAAGTGCAGACTGGTAAAAAATAGACATAGTTGATAGATACCAAGACTAAATGAGTGCAAGGGAATAATTTCAGATTGGTAGTCAAAATAATACAAGAGGTCTGTGATAAAACAATTGGGAACTAGATTTAAGGGTCAAAGACGAACCAGTGGAGAAATCCAGTGGGAACCCAAACGGGGAATTAATTCTTGGACAGAGCTCAAGTTATACCTTTCTCCGTAATTCGCAGCAAATATCTTTCCCTGCAGTATGAAAGGTGGGATTTTGGAGTTCGGGGCAGCACTTACTGTCTGGTAGGTGATAACCAGCTGGATCACAGGCAGCGCATAAAACACAGCAATGGTAATGATGTTCCTACGCAGGCAAAGAATCAGAAAGGGTTATTTCCAAAATAACAATGGAAACTTTGCCCTTTTTTTTTTTTTTAAAAAGAATCTTTCCACCCCATAACTCCCTAGTTAACTCACAAACGCGATTAGAAACTGATTATGTGGTTCCTGTTTCTCCAATCTTCCTCTCATACAGTTACTTGTAAAACAGTGTAAATAATACTTGCTTCTGGTTTTACCAATTATTAATGAGGGCCTATCTATTTAGGATATTGTTAGATTAAATGTGATCAGAGAGGGACTTCCCTGGTGGTGCAGTGGTTAAGAATCCACCTGCCAATGCAAGGGACACAGGTTTGATCCCTGGTCCTGGAAGATCCCACATGCTGAAGAGCAACTAAGCCCGTGCACCACAACTACTGAGCTTGTGCTCTAGAGCTCGCGATCCACAACTGCTGAGCCTGCGTGCCACAACTACTGAAGCCCGTGAGCCTAGAGCCTGTGCTCCACAACAAGAGAAGCCCACCATAGTGAGAAGCCTGCACACCGCAGTGAAGAGTAGCTCCTGCTCGACGCAACTAGAGAAAGCCTGCACACAGCAACAAAGACCCGACGCAACCAAAAATAAATAAATTAAAAAAATAGAAATAAGTTGTGACTTAAAAATTTAAAAAAAAAGTGATCTGAGAGTAGGTAATGGGTGATGGATCTCACAAAGGGATGTGGCTCTTTTAGATATCTCTTAGTTCTAAAATGATGGCCCTACTATGGAATTCCATGTGGTCCCCACTGGCCCTTGTTTTCCTCTAATATCTGTATCCCAGTAAAAGGGTATCCTTCCAGAAAAAAGAATGGGAAGGGCTATCATAAGTGTCAGCTGGGGGTTTCTGAGAGGAAGGAGGGGACCCTGCCAGGCACCTCAGACTCTCTGCTTGTAGGAAGACTGCATCTGTGTCTGACCATCGCAGGTCTATTTATTATTGGCTGATGGTATCATCTTCACTCAGGGAGGTTTCTAGCTACTATGAGATGCTCTAGGTATCTCATCCCTTTAATCACTGGCTCTTCCAAGAACAAGTCCTGGTGAGGAGAAGAGGGAAGGTGGTGACATTAATGTTATCGTTACTGTATTTTCCTAGAAAAGGATTTAGTGTCTCCCTATGGGATTCCACTACCATTCTTATTTAATACTTTGTATTTATTTAATTTAGGGCTGGTTTCCTTTGGTAGTTCATTTTTGTCTTTCCTATCAAATGTGGCATGAATCCTTTAAACACCTATACCTGTGCCTCATTAAACACTGAAACCTGTGATTTGATTCACTTATATGAATCTCATAAGTGATTGCAGCTTTTACAAGGAAAACTTTAATTTTACTAAAGGGAACCATAGCCCTCCTGGTCATTTACTCACCAAAAATAAATCTTATATTTTTTGCTGACAATTCTCCGGTCCTTCCTGGACAGATCTGACAGGTAAAGGAACATCTGGGATGCCAAATAAAAAGAGAGTGCAAAACTGTACTTGGATTTCTTGCATAAAATATAAAGGAGAGCTTTACACATTTCAGTTCAATCACTCACTAGGGATTAAAATTATTTAACAAGACTTTTCTTTTAATTTTGCTTTTCCCAGGATGCCTTTAAAAATCCTAGTATTTCCCTTGGCTTTAGGGAAATTGGCTGATGTGGGAAGCCTATTGGGCGTCTTGAATGCTTCTTAGATCTCAAGAATTGCTTTCCCAGTTTTCAGAGATGCCCATCGTGTGATTCTTGAATGACGAGGTTGAAACAACGATTCACCTTTGTGTCCCTTACTGGATACAAGATACAAGCCAGAAAGAAATGAGCTTTTACTCCTGAAGGATTTTATGTATACAACCAGGGAGTTTTTCCAAGTACACCCTTCAAATGAATCTTTTCTCCCATTTGGTTGGATCCCTTCCTCAACTTTTGTCCATGCTCAGCCCCTTCAGACCCTGAGAGCGTTTTAGCACTCTGTTTTCTTTACTGCTCTCACTTTCTCCCTCCAGAAAGAAGTGTTAACCAACCAAGTATTGCTTTTAGTATGTAGCTAAGTTTTATCTAAAAAGCCCCCTGAACATATATACACTACCAGATGTAAAATAGCTAGCTAGTGGGAAGCAGCCGCATAGCACAGGGAGATCAGCTCGGTGCTTTGTGACCACCTAGAGGGGTTGGATAGGGAGGGTGGGAGGGAGACGCAGGAGGCAGGAGACATGGGGATATATGTATATGTATAGCTGATTCACTTTGTTATACAGCAGAAACTAACACACCATTTAAAGCAATTATACCCCAATAAAGATGTTTAAACAAAATAAATAAAAAGCTCACTGAGAAATTTGACTCCCCCTGAAGAAAAAATATATATAAAGGAAATTGAGGTGTTGCTGAAGTTGTATTTGGCTCCTGAACTTTTCGCCCTCTCGAAGAGCACCACCTGGCAGAAGTACCTTGGTCCGGATGACGTTCTTATGGCTCTCAATGTCTGGCATGGTGTCGAAGTCACTTTCCTCCACGGAGCTGTCCGTGTCTGACTGGCATGGCTGTCTGCCATCGGAGGAGGACATTTGCCTGCCAGGACTGGAGCTTGACTCATCTGAAACAGAGGAGACTCATCTGCCTTCCCAAACCGTGAAGAGCCCATGGAGTCCATCTTTCTCTGCAGAAAGCACAGTGCTGACTCATTCCTGAAAATGCTGTGTTGGTAAAAACCAACTCCTTACCCACAGCACGTGTTCTTTCTCTAATTGCTCCTCAATGGACCTCTAATTTTCCTCTCCTCCTATTTTTATATTTAAATCATCTCTTTCTAGGGCTGAATACATAATATAAAGGCATCTGCTCTGTTAACTATTTGGCTGCAAAAATAATATTATGCTTATATTTCATGTTTCATATTTTAAAATATGAGCATAAATGTATAAACATACACATGCACGTAATTATGTATAGCATCTACCACATGTACGTGTTAGTACCAACACGTCCAGCAGCTATACATTTCTCGTGGATAAAGTATTTGTACACTGAAATCCCCCACATGCTGTATCTATGATTATATAATGGAAACAACATTCTCAGGAAGAAGAATCCTGTGAATGTTTCCCAGAGCAGATGGGAATTTGCACAGCCTAATGAGCACATGAGCAGAGCCTACCTTCTGCTTTATTTCTTCTATTCAGATGGTTAAAAAAAAAAAAAAAAAAAAAAACCTGTTCTTGCAGAGCCAGAAATAAGTCTCCAGCACGGAGCCCACATGCTTCTCAAAGTTACAGAATAACAGGGCAGGCATACAGGATTCCCAGCCCCTCTATGCTGACAGCTTAATGTGCACCATTCATAGGCCCGCAAGCATCATGGAAGTGTGTGGAAGCGTCAATGCACGCCAGCTCTAACAAGACAAGGATCAGAATTCTGACCCTTCAGGCCACTGAACGAGCCCTGGGGGTTGCCATGTGAATGACTGGGTGGCAGTGTGCAGGTTCGTTTATGCAGTTAGCCCAAATGGAAGATCGTTAGGCTTCAGCCGTGTTCACCTGCTGCACAGCCTCAGTCTTCTGATCGCCCTTACTCCACTGAAACCTGAGAATGAAACACCGGGTCAGTTGATGTCGGGCTCCCTGACGTCAGACTCTTGACGCATCTTTCACGCCCTACACTCAGGCTGGGTACGAGAAAATCCCCAAGGGAGTTGGTGGCAACCATAGAAAATTCTGCTCAAGTGTGGCTAGCAGACCCAAGAAACGGATCAATAGAACCAGAGAAAATTAGAGCTGGAAGGAACCTTCCAGATCATCGAGCCAATTCATCTTATAAATAAAAGATAATCTTATACGATGACGGCCTTGCCCACTCTCCCAGTTATTAGTGGCTGGAGGGCTCCTTGTATCCCATTCTTTGGAGAATCAGGAAACACTTCCATGAATGGACTCATTGTAGGAAATACCTATTGCCCCATAATTGCTTTCGTCAGGGGTGCTGGCGGCAATGGGATGTGACACCGACGTATTTCCAGAGCCTGTTAAAAAGAAAAGCAAAGAGGCAAACACTTTATGTCCAGTTGCCAAAGTGAAAGAACATAACTCTAAATAGTTTGATTTTCTTTTCACTCTAATGTAGGAGCCTGCAGGCCAATTTTATGGTCTGCAGACCAAATCTAGCCTGCCACCTGTTTTTGTATGGCCCTTAAACTAAAAATGGTTTTCAATTTTTTAAATGGTTAGGGAAAAATCAGAAGACGAAGAGTATTTTATGGCAGGTAAAATGATAAATTTCAGTATTTACATACGACGTTCTACTGAAACACAGCCACTCGTTGAGTACGTCTGTGGCTGCTTTTGGCTACAATGGCAGAGTGGAGCAGTTGCAACAGAGACTACATGGCCCGCAGAGCCTAAAACATTTACCATTTGGCACTTTACAGAAAAAACGTTGCCGATTCCTGCCTGACAGTGTTGCAGAATCACAGGAACAAAGGAGCATGGGTCCTGGAATCACTGTGAGGAAGGCCACCGCTGAACATAAACACCAGAAATAAACTTCTGTGATTAAGGGGCTATAATTGGGAGGTTTATTTATCACAGTCATTAACAGTACCCTAACTATAGACGGGATGAGCCCTGACAGTATGGAAATTACTGCACTCCTTGGAGCAAAAAATAATGACAACGTGAACTAAGGATGTGCAGGAATATGGGTTATTTGGGGGATAGTTCAGAGGTAGAATAGGCATGTCTGTTGCCAAATGGTTGTTGGCAGTGAGAGAAAAACATTCTTTAAGAGGACGCGCCTCAAACTTTTCCAAATATTACATGTGCAACTAGTAAGCGAAGAATGATACTAAAATCATAAACCCCAGGATCTTGGGCATTTTCTGTTCCTGGGAAACCCCCTGGCATGGGAAGTAGACACGTGCGTCGGAGAATGCTTGAGTTCCTCTGCAGCGGGGGGTTGAAATGGTCTGTAGGAGGCAAAGGGTTTTCGTGTGTGTGATCAAAAGAGAAAAAATGGCAAAAACTAAAGTCAAAGCAAGTGAGCAAACAAAAACAATCACTGTTTTGTTAGGCGACAACTTCACTAAAAAGAAAAAGCCAGCTGTGCAGGTTTGTTCAGACTTCGATGATTTCTGCACTCTGCCTTGCAATCGAGCAGGACCTGGTTTCGATGTAGTCGCTAGTTCTTTTCACCTCGAGGCAACCACAACAACAATGGTTCTGTGATGGACAAGAGCATCGAGATTTTCATGAGCAGTGCTCTTGTTTCAAATCTGTGCACTTCTGGGCTTCCCTGGTGGCGCAGTGGTTGAGAGTCCGCCTGCCGATGCAGGGGACACGGGTTCGTGCCCCGGTCTGGGAAGATCCCACATGTCGCAGAGCGGCTGGGCCCGTGAGCCATGGCCACTGAGCCTGTGCGTCCGGAGCCTGTGCTCCGCAACGGGAGAGGCCACAACAGTGAGAGGCCCGCGTACCACAAAAACAAAACAAAAACGAATCTGTGCACTTCTATATGCACAATTAAATAGGAGACTGGTCAACATGAGATAACGGTATTCTGTTAACGTTTCTAATGTCTAAGACCTTCTTAGAACGCAAAAACCGAAGCATTACCTCCCAAACTTCAAACATGATGGATGCGCCCAGAAGGCAAGCCATATTTCTATTTAACTGTATGGCATTTAGAAAGCAGAATTAAACACAAAATATCACTTTATAGGACAGACCAAGATGTTCTGGCTGGGAATAAGCAAACATATAAAGTTGTGAATGAGCTCGTCTTAATGGGGAGACTTGTTCTGGTATGTTTTTCTCTGCGTGTGGGCCCTTTGCCATCTGTCTGCTTTACTAACTTAGAATAGGATATGCTTGCATGCTTGCCTTTTATATTAATTGCTCCATGTGAGGAGAAAAACTTCATTTCATTTTGAGCATGCTTGGCTCTTTCAGGGACGTCACATTTATAATTGTCCTGCCCGCTTCCGTCTCCAGACTCAGGAGGTTGGAAGCGGAAGAGGGAGTCAGTAACGCTGTGAACTAGCTGACATGATATTTCATTTTTATGCCAGTTGGCTACCTCTCCCAACGAGTGTCATGCTGTATCTCAAAAGTTGAGGAGAAAATGAAGAAAACCACTAATCTTTGCAGAAGGACGTAAAAGTAAAATTCCTCTAGAAGAAAAAACCGGGCAGGCAAAGCTGGGAAAAAGCAGAGTAGAGAGTCAGGACTAGAGTCTGAGACCTGTTGCCACAGAGCCTGAGGATGGCCTGTGCTCCCTGACCCCTCTGGACTCAGCACGCTGCTTGTCTTATCCCTCCCGGGCCCTGCTCTTTGCTGGGAGGCTGATTCAGTAATCGCTCCATCCAGGGAAGGATCTGATTGGCCATTTGGTTCTTAAATCTGCAAACTTGGCAAGTTCACCAAGCTCCCTCACTTGAGAAAGTACCCTCCTCTTAGGCTGCACCCAGGTTCATGGTGACAGCTCATGTGGTCCCAGAGGCCTGTGAGTCACGTTTCATCTGTCTCTCTTTCAAGGTGGTAACTGAATTTCTGTATAGGCTCTTTAACAATGATGTGAAATGTGGGTTTTTTCCACTGATAGAGCCACTGGAGGACATGTTTTTAGAACACAGAGCCTTGCCCAGTGCCCTTTAGATTACCACAGAGGCCCCTGTCCTAAGTGCTAAGTGAGGAATAGAGAATACAGTGTCCATCCAGTCACACCGCAGTAGTAAGTCCACATGCAGGGGAGCCGACAGATTTTCCAAATGCAGCCTTCCTATCATTACATAACTAAAACAGCTGCCAACAATTTAGCAAGTTGTAGGGACCTGGCTCCATTTCCTCCATCTCAGGCATACCTAGGGTGAAAGCATCAGGCCAAGTTCCTCAGATATCTAGCTCCACGTTGATTGCGGCAGACAGCATGCCAAATCTAGTGGGGTCCCTTTTCTCAAACGCTGCTCCTAGCATTTCTTCTAGGCACTAGCCCCCAGGGCATTTCCTGTAGCTCTGAGCTCCATTAAACTTCTTGTAGCCCTGCCTTGGGCACACTGATACTGGCCCTTGGGAGACAAAGACATTTCTGTATCCTTGCTCCTCTCTAAAGGTTCCTCCCCTGAATCTTTCACATTAGCTTTCAGATAAGGTCCCTCACTTGCCTCTGTCTCTTACTACAGGCTGGTTTCTCCGTGCTCTGTGGTCATGTGATTAAGAGTCGCTAACTGGTTCCTCCCTAGGGTAGAGCTTATCTTCTCTGCTCTTGTTTGAAGAACCTAGGTCTTGTCTCACCAGTGGTCATGTGTCATCTTTCCCCGTAGCCTCTCAGCATTACATAGGTTCCTTACTTCCTCCTGATTTCAGAGCCCTTTGTGGTGAACATTCCTATTTCCTACTTCCTAACTAAGCTGGGATTTTGTTTGGATATCCTCCCTCACCTGTGCCTGGAAGCCCATATTTTTAAGTCAGTGATTCTCGGTTGGGGGTAGGGGTGGGGGGAACATTTTGCTCCCAAGAGGTCGTTTGACAATGTCTGGGCATAACTTTAGTTGTCACAGGGAGGGAGTGTATTACTGAATTCTAGTAGGTTGAGGTGAAGGATGCGGTTAAACATCCTATAATGTACAGGGCAGCTCCCAACAACAAAGAATGATTCTGGCTGTAATGTCCATAATGTTGAGTTTGAGAAATGCTGGTCCTAGAAAAAGATGACCTCACCCTAATTCTATAAGCAGGCTTGATTGATCTGTAAGTAAATAGATTCCTTTGCAGTGACTGGTTTAGCAACAAGTGTATGATCCTCTCTAGGCCAATGAAACATGAGAGAAGTTGCTAGGTGCTTCTGAAACAGTCCTTCCTTCTGGACATTGTCAGGTGAGGACCCATCTCACTACCAGCTTTGGGGGCAAAGCAGAGTCAAGGGAATGGCAGGAAAAAGGACCAGAGCCACTGGACTCAGTGAATCCTGAAGCCCACCCTTCTGCTCAGCTTCCAGGGAGAGGAGACACTCTTTATTGTTTAGGTATGTTTGAGATAAACTTTGCTGTTACCTGCAGCCGCATGAATCTAACGGATGCATCTTTATTTATTTTTTTGCTCACTCATTCATTTCTGCTTGTTATCTGAAGGGTGCCTCTAGCTCTTAGCTAATTTTCAGAGCCATCTTGATCTTGGACAGTGATTTGGCTCAAGTCCCAGCTCTGTCTACCAGAGCTTCACTGTTCAGGAGACCCTTCTGAATACGAAGTTCCTTTAATTGTCATTGCAGTGGTAAAATGACTTCACTCATACAATAAAAATAACAGAGAATCCATTCACAGAGCACCTATCGGATCCAACCAATCGGGCTTTCTAAGTTCGACTAGGCCTAAATAAGAGCAAAACCTGGAGAGCATCAGAGAGAAAAGGCCGAGATCCAGAGAGAAGACATTTCATTTTAACATATTATGAATAAAATAGAAAGTAGTACTTAGCATTTTAAAGACACTAGAGCAGGTGTTCTTTTATATTCCTTTACATTGGCTGTTGAATGTTATTAAAACCAATGCCTGGATGCCTGGAAAAATAGACACGTTGACATTAAGGAAGACAAAAGTCAAAGGAAGGCAGGAGAAGCAGACCTCCAGCAGAGGGAGAGATACTCCTGCTGGGTGGGGTAGGGAGTCGCTTTGTGTCTTTCTAACTTAACTGTAGAAAACACAGAACTAAACATCTGCTGCATACCTACTGTATAGCACAGGGAACTCTACTCAGTCCTCTGCGGTGACCTAAATAGGAAGGAGATCCAAAAAAAGAGGGGATATATGTATATGTATAGCTGATTCACTTTGCTGTACAGTAGAAACTAACACAACATTGTAAAACAACTACACTCCAATAAAAATTAGAAAAAATAATCTGCTGCATGTGACTTAAAAATCAATTCTCACTCCATCATTCCTTTTCCAAATGATCACTGTATGCCAAATAGCTTGTGAGCACTGAGTAACTCATGCTGATTTAGGCTTTTCCAAAAATAGGACACTTACAAAAGGTGCAAACTTCCAGTTATGAAATATAAGTAAGTCCTGGGGATGTAATGTACAACATGGTGACTAGAGTTAATAATACTGTATTGTGTATTTGAAAATTGCTAAAAGAATAGATCTTAAAAGTTCTCATCACAAGAAAAAATAGTATAACTATGTGTGGTGATAGATGTTAATTAGATTTCTAGTGGTGAGCACTTTGCAATATATACAAATACAGAATCGTGTTGTACACCCAAAACTTATACAATGTTATATGTCAATTATATCTCAAGTTTTAAAAATAAGGACATTTAATTTTTTTTAAAAGATTTAATAAAAAGATCAAGCAACTAAATTCCTTTGTTCAAATCCTCAGAGTGGAAGAAAGGGCGTATTACAATGGTTGGATAATCAATTACTCTGGATTTCCCAAAGTTATAATACTCTCTTATACTTGCTGGTCTCAAATACTTCAGTTTTCTAGATCCTTGAACAAAAAAACCCTCTATCTCAATTTGGGAAAAGTAAGCTCTGTATTAGATTTGACACAATAAATTCTTACCCTTGTTCACAAGTCAGCTCTGTGATAAGACAGATATGAACAATTTATGTCCTGGAAAACATTAAACTCCTTAAAAAGATGAATTGCTGACAAATGGGCTGTGGACAACTATGAGGAACTCTCCGAACAAAGGCTCTTAGTGTGAGCTCCATATCTAAGTAATTATCAAGTGTGTAAATTGGTTCTCACTGGCTCTGCTTTCTGTAGGAAGACTGCAGATTAGACCACTCTGTGTGTGTCTGTGGGGGGATAGGAATCAATAGAGGGTTTGGGAAATCACAAAAGTCAGAGAGACAAAAGTACCAAATGGAATGTTGCCACATACTTGACATCAGTTTGAATTGAAACCAGGGATTTTTCTTACCGTCACTGGAACCAAAGGTTCCATCAATGGACTTTCTCTGAAACCTGCAAACAAGCACATACACATGCTCCTAAGACCGCAAAAACTTCAGCATTTTCCATTTGTTCCCTATAGACTTTGTTGCAGATTTGTCTGCTAGGATCTCTTAAAAATGGGCCTTTGGATGTGCAAAAATTGGAACTCTGATACATTGCCGGTGGGACTATAAAATGGAGCAGCCACTTGGAAAAACCATTTGACAGTTCCTTAAAAAGTTAAACCTAGAGACACAATATGACCCAGCAATTCCACACCTAGGCACATACAGGCATACATATATTAAGTTCATTAATTTATTTCCATATTCATTTATTTTCAGATAATTCACATGCCATAAAATTCACCCTTTAATGTGCACAATTCAATGAATTTTAATATGTTCACAGAGTTGTGCAACCATCACTATTTTCTAGTTGCAGAACATTGTCATCATCACCCAAAGAAATCTCAAACCATAGCAGTTACTGCTCTTTCTCTACTCCTCCCAGCCCTTGGCAATCACTAATCTACTCTCTGTCTCTATAAATTTGCCTATTCTGGACATTTCATATAAATGGAATTGTATTGCATGTGGTCTCTTTGTCTTCTTTCCCTTAGCATAATGCTTTCAAGGTTCATCTATGTGGTAGCATGGATGAATACTTCAGTCTTTTTATGGCTGAATAATATTCCATCGTATGGATATATACCATGCTTAATTTATTTGTTTACACTTGATATACATTTTGATTGTTTCCACTTTTTAGCTATCATGAATAACACTGCTATGAATATTTGTGTACAAGTTTTTGTGTGGATATATGTGTTAAATTCTCTTGGGTATGACCTAGGAATGGAAGTGCTGAGTATGAGGTAACTCTGTGTTTAACATTTCTTTCTAAACTGTTTTCTACTGTAGCTCAATAGCAGGAACTAAATATTTTACATTCCTATTAGCAATGTACAAGGTTCTAATTTCTCTACATCCTTGCCAACTCTCGTTATTTTCATTTAAAAAAATTTATTATAGCCATCCTAGTGGATATGAAGTGATAGCTCATTGTAGTTTTGATTTGCATTTCCCTGATGGCTAATGTTGTTGAACATCTTTTCACATGCTTATTGGCCATTTGCATATTTCTTTGGAGAAACATCTATTCAATTTTAAAAATGCCTATTTTTAAATGGGGATATTTTTCTTTTTATCTTTGTGTTGTAAGAATTCTTTACCTAGTTTAGATACTAGACTCTTACTGGATATATGATTTACAAACATTTTCTCCAGTTTTGTGTATTGTATTTTCACTTCCTTGATAATGTCCTTTAAAAACACAAAAGTTTTAATTTTGATGAAGTCCAATTTACCTATTTTTTTCTTTTTTTACTTGTGCTTTTGCTATCATATCTAAGAAACTATTACCTAATCTAAGGTCACAAAGATTTACACCTATGTTTTCTTCTAAGAGTTTTATAGATTTGGCTCTTTTATTTAGATCTATGTTCTATTTAGAGTTAATTATTTTTATATGTTGTGAGGTAGGGGTACAATAACTTCATTCTTTTTCATGTGGATACCCAAGTGTCCCAGCACCATTTGTTGAAAAGAATATCCTTGTTCCATTGAATTGTCTTGCTACCCTTGTCAAAAATCAATTGACCATAAACGTAAGTGTTTATTTCTGAACTCTCAATTCTGTTCCATTGATCTGTATGTCTTTCCTTATGTCAGTGTCAGAGTTTTAAATATTGTCACTTTGTAGTTAGTTTTGACATCAGAAAGTGTAAGACCTCCAGCTTTGTTCTTTTTTTTTTTTTTTTCATGATTTTTTTTCCTATTCTGGGTCCCTTGCATTTCCAGATGAATTTTAGGATCAGTTTATCAATTTTTGGAAGAAAGTCAGCTGGGACTTTCATAGGGATTGTGTTGAATCTATAAATCAGTTAGGGGAGTATTACCACGTCTTTTAGTTTATATTGCTGCTGTAACAAATATCACAGTCTTAGTGGTTTAGAACAATACAAATTTATTATCTTCAGTTCTGGATGTCAATTCTAAAATGAGTCTTATGTGGCTAAAATCAAGATATCAGCAGGGCTGTATTCCTTCTGGAGAATCCAGGGGAGGATCCATTTCTTTGCCTTTTCCAACTTCTAGACGTGGCCTGCATTCCTTAAGTCATGGCCCCTTCCCCCATCTTCAAATGTATTACTCCAACCTCTGCTTCCCTCATCACACCTCCTCCTATCTTTGACTCTCTTGCCTCCCTCTTATAAGGACCCTTGTGATTACATTATACCCACACAGATAATCCAGGATAATCTCCATAATTTTATCACATCTGCAAAATCTCTTTTGCCATGTAAAGTAACATATTCACAGGTTCTGAATATTAGAACATGAGCATTTTGGGGAGGCCATTATTCTGTCTACTATACCATCTTAATAATATTAAGTCTTTCAATCTGTGAACACAGGATGTCTTTTCGTATATTTAGGTTCTCTAAGTTCTTTCAAGGATGTTTTGTAGTTTTCAATGTACAAGTCATATTTAATTTCTTAAATTTTTTCTTAAGTACTCTATTATTATTTTTGATGCTATTGTAAATAGAATTATTTTCTTAATCTCGTGTTTGAATCGTGCACTGCCAGTGTATAGAAATACAATTGATTTCTGTATATTGATCTTGTATCCTATAATCTTGATAAACTCAGGGTTTCTTTTTGGAGGTGATGAAAATTAGACAGTGGTGATGGTTGTGCAACTGTGAATATACTAAAACCACTGAATTTTTAAAGGGGGGTGAATTTTATGGTCTATGAGTTATGTCTTAATAAAGTCATTATTTTTAAAACTGGGTGTATCAAATGTAAATGTCTATCAAAAATTAAAATGTGAATTGCTCTCTTCCCCCCAGATAAGCCTCCCTTTTGGACATGAAGTTGGAGTTGGGGGAGAAGGGAGAAAAGTTGGGGACTACATGTGCCTGTGCTTTGGTACGTGTTCTTGTTTATTTCCAAATGGGGGTTCTAGAAGTTGCACACCCCTGATCCTGGTATGTTTGGTGGAAGGACTTCTCTTCATACCTCTTTTGTTCCTAGACACAGCAAACCCATCCCTGCCTCAGGGCCTTTGCTCTTGTTCTCTGCCTGGGCCACTCTCTCCCCAGATCCTCACATGGCTGGCTCCTACTTGCCATTCAGGTCTTGGTCCTGAGAGGTCTTCCCTGCTGAACAAATCAAATCTAAAGTAGCTTCCCCAGTCCAATCATTCTCTGTCCCACCACTGTGTTTGTTCTCCTCCTGTCACTAGCTGAAATTATTTTATTAATTGCTTGCTTATATGTTTTTCCTTTGTATAATGTAAGCTCTATTAGAGCAGGGATCTAGACTGTCTCGTTCACCACTGTATCACTAACCTTTGGGACAGGGCCTGGCACTCAGGAAATGATAACTAAATATTTGTTGAGTGAACAAGGCATATCATTAAGGAGAGCAGTTACAATTGGGTCTGACTGTTCTAGCTGGCAAATGAGGCTCTAGGGAAGTCCCTTTAAAAAAACAATTTTAGTGATATTAACTAGCAAGCAATTAAATGAACTCATAAAAGATGATGTGTTTGGACTGTGTTTGTATTAACAGGCTTTAACCACATTTGCCCTAGGTTTTGGAGCTGATAAAGTTCTTAATTAGAGGAGTTAAATGATTTACAAAGCTAGGGTGAGGCAGGCAGTATCGAGTGAACAAACAAAAAAAGAGTAATTGAGACCTATGCTAGATTGATTGAAAAATGGCTATACCTCATCTTGTATCTAGCTCCTTCAATCAAAAGTGGAGTCTGTGTCTTTACCTCTTGCAGCTGGACTGGCCTATCACTTGTTTTGGCCAACAGAAAGAGGGGGAAGTGATATCATGCCACTTTTGAACCTACCTCTTAAGGAAGCCTTGCATTCTTCTGCTATCTCTTTTGGAGATACAGTAGGGCTAGGCTGCTGGAGGATGAGAGGCAAAGTACAGCTGAGGCCAGTCTAGAAAAGCCAGCTCTTCTCTGACCTGCCAGATGATTTCACTCTATGACCACACCCAGCTGAGATCTCTGAGCCTAGTCCAGATTAGCAGAATCATCCAGCTGACCCATAGATTTGTGAGCAAATGTAAATATGTATTGGAGTTTTTATGGTTGGAGTTTTTGGAGTTTTTATGGTTGATTTTTTTTTTTTTTTTTGTGGTACGCGGGTCTCTCACTGTTGTGGCCTCTCCCGTTGCGGAGCACAGGCTCCGGACGCGCAGGCTCAGCGGCCATGGCTCACGGGCCCAGCCGCTCCGCGGCATGTGGGATCTTCCCGGACCGGGGCACGAACCCACGTCCCCTGCGTCGGCAGGCGGACTCTCAACCACTGCGCCACCAGGGAGGCCCTTATGGTTGATTTTTATGCAGCATTATTGTGGCAATAGATAACTAATACAGGAATCAAGGGAAGAACGAGTAATCAGGATCATGTAGTTTGAACTCAACATCTGGCAGGGTGACTGAGAGGAAGGAATAAGAGACATGTATGCAGGGCTTCCCTGGTGGCACAGTGGTTAAGAATCTGCCTGCCAATGCAGGGGACACGGGGTCGAGCCCTGGCCCAGGAAGATTCCACATGCCGTGGAGCAACTAAGCCCGTGCACCACAACTACTGAGCCTGCACTCTAGAGCCCGTGAGACACAACTACTGAAGCCTGCGCGCCTAGAACCTGTGCTCTACAACAAGAGAAGCCACCGCCATGAGAAGCACGCGCACCACAACAGAGTAGCCCTTGCCTGCCGCAGCTAGGGAAAGCCCCTGCACAGCAGCGAAGACCCAATGCAGCCAAAAATAAATTAATAAAATAAATTTTAAAAATAAATTGATATAGATATAATATAATTAAAGAAAAAAAGAGACATGTATATAGTGCTTGACCCAGGGGGGTCATTGCAGGGGCTCCATAAATACTTGCTGAATGAATTGGAGCTGGGGGTGGGGAGGGGAATGGAGTTCAGGGTTGAGCCAAAAAAACATAAAAACAAAAAAACATAAAAAACAAAAAATAGCATAAAAACACTTTGAATTCTTAGCTCCCTGAGGACAGGAGCCATGTCTCTAATCATTGTTTTCATCCTGATCTCATAGCATGTACTGCGAACCCCACATGTATTAGTAATAAAGAACAGGGGGCTCAACAAGCAATTGGCATTCTGCTCCAGGACTGGCTGGCTTCACTTGGTTTTGTAGAAAACTTTGTTATTTCTGCTTAGTTCAATGAAGGAAGAGTTCTATTAGCATTTTCTCTCAGTTTATTCCCCTATTTAGATGCCAAGTAGTTCTTATGTCTCCAGATTTCTATTTTCAGTTTGCCTATATTTGGAAAGAATCTATGCTTGTGCAGTTGGCAGTAGCAAAGTAATCTGGCAGCCAGAGGTTTCAACAGAGCCTACGCCACAACTTTCAAAAACTGTGCTCGCTTCAGCAGGCTGAATAACAACTTTAGAGAGATTAATAGCCAGCTATTAATTTCTGTCTGTTTGTACACTGGTTATATCTGCTAGGTAACTGAAGAGGTGAAACCTATTTTCTAAAATCTAGAACATCAGCGGTAGAGACAGCCTTCCTAAGAGAGGCAGAAAAAAGATGAACTTCGTTTCCCATGATGCTGTAACTCATCTGAGTCAAAATTAGCAGCTTTTCGGACCCCTTTTCAATCAAATTCATGCTGGGGTTCCAGGTTTTTGACCTGGTTTCCTTGATTAGGACTGCCCTCCTTCACATGCCCTGATCACTCCAGACCCATCTTGTCCGGGCTGCTTAAGAGCTAAGGCTCTGGAGCCAGGCTGCCTGGGTTCAAACCCAGGCAGTGAATTCTTGGTCAAACTGCTTAACCTCTGAATGCCTCAATTTCCTGAACTGTCAAATAATGCTAATACTACTACTTGTTGTGGGGCTTTAGATGAGATAGTCTACTCAGAGTGCCTGGCAAAGAATAAGTGATTGTTCAGTGTTAGTGATTATGATCTGATAAATTAATGAGCTGATAACCAGTTAATGTATGTATACTTTCCAGGTATAATATTTGCCTGTAGACTGGAGATTTTGTTTTTAATTTTTTATTTGAAAATAATTTCACATTTATAGAGAAGCTATAAGAATAAGAATGGAATATAGAATACTCATGTATCATTACCTAGATTCACTTATTGTTAGCGTATTACCCCCTTTGCTTTCTCATTCTGTCTCTGGGTGCGTATGTGTGTTTTCATATACATGTATACGTAAAAATCTTTTTCTGAACCACTTGAAAGTAAGTTGCATACGTCATGAACTTTTGTGCCTAAATATTTCCAAAGAATAAAGATACTCTCTTCCATAACCACAGTGTAGTTGTCAACTTCAGCACATTTAACATCGATATGATAATCTTATCTAATCTGCTGTCTGTTTTACAGTTTTGTCAATTGACCCAATAATGTCCTTTATAGCATATTTTTCTTCTAGTAAAAGAACCAGTCTGAGATCAAATATTGTCCTTAGTGGTCACATATATTTAGTCTCCCTCAATCTGGAACATTTCCATAGCTATTTTTTGTCTTTCGTGATACATTTTAATAGATTGTTCATCATTTTGAGTTTGTCTAATTTTTTCCTCAGGATTATATTAAAAATGTGCATTTCTGGCTGGAATACTGCATAAGTGATGCTATTTCCTTCTCAGGACCTCACATCTGGAGACACAGAGTGTCCAACTTTCCCTTGGTCATATTAATTTTTATCACCCTGTCAATAGTCTAATTTCTCCACTGTATAGTTACTACTTTTTCCCTTACAACTACTAAGCGATTTGTGGAGATACACTTAAGGCCATGCAAATATGTTGATCCTCATCAGATTTTCCTGCTAGTTTTAGTATTCATTGATGATTCTTAACCTGATCTATGCAAAATGATGATTTTCCAATTCCGGCACCCTCTTCTTATTTACCAGTCAGTGTTTGGTGTTCTGCTGTAGGCAAGAGTCCTCCCTTCTAGGTCAGTATTTGCTAATGGGTCCTGTCCCTAATGTGTATCTATTTTAGTAATTTTGTTGAGTTTATTAAATGTATATCTGTAAGAATTTTGGTCTTTCTTTCCTTCCTTCCTTCCTCCCTCCTTTTCTCCCTTCCTTTCTTCCCTTACTGATATGGATTTATGAATTTCTATTTTTCTCAATGGTTTATAATTCACTATTCTCCTTAATTGTTTTGGTTCTCAAATTGTCCCAGATATGGTCAGTGGGTTTTTGAAGTCAGTTTCTCAATTGCAAAGCTTCATAAAAGTTACAGAAAGGAGTTATGTTTTGAGTCAGAGGTAGGCCTGTATCACTGAGATAGTTGTATCACTGTGGTAGCCTTGAGGTTTTTCTCCAGATGAGACTAATCTTGCCCATTAATCTGAAAACTCTATACTGGCTTTGTTTTCTTTACATTCTCAAGAGGAGAGAGAACATTTGTTTGTTATACCTCCTGCCATTCCTTTGTAGTTGTTTTACAGAGACCACGACAAGCTATGGGATTCTTAATGTTCAGGTCTGCTCTGAGATACAAGGAAAGACTGGTCCTCTTTTCACTGGGGGCTCCAAACTCTTGGGAAGGGAAATTTCCAAATTACAGCATGATTATCTCCTTTTTTTCTCTCGAGGAACATTTTACTGTAAAATTGACGCTACAACAGTAAGAAAGCACCTGGTAATGTAGTGTCAAAGCATATTTATTACTCCTGCTACTTATTGTACCTCAATATTTATTTTAGGCATTAATTGTACTTTTTGACGGAATGTTTAAAGCTGTTTCTAAATCTCCATGTTAGGTGGAACTCATTTCTTACATTCCATAGGATCTACACTAAGTATTTTCTGGTCTAAAAATTACCGAAGCTATCTTTCTGTTGAAGTTTCATTAACTATGAAAATAGCTAACACTATCAGCACTTACTCTGTGCAGGACATTGAAGTAAACACTGCAGTTATACTGGTCTATGAGGTAAATTATTATCTCATTTTACAGATGAAGAAACTTAAGCACAGAAAATTTAAGTAACTTGCCCAAGATCACACAGTTTGTGGCTAAGGTAGATTCGAATCCAGTTAATATGGCTCTAAAATCTAATGTGCTAATCACTAAGCAGAGACAGGTGAAAGGGGTTGACATTTCTTGAAACTCTTGACATACCTGATATAATGAACAAATGCAACAAAGAGGCATCCCAAGTAGAAGGAGAAGAAGATGAGGAAACTGAGAAGAATGGATTTCACATAAACAGATCCTGAGGGAAGAGAAACAGCTTTGGTCAGGATGTCCTCAAGAGAAGAGAGGACCATGTTTGGGACAGGACAGCTTCATGGGCCCATCTGCATCACACTCATTCTTAAATCCTAAGATAATTCCACTCAAAGCAGCAAAGCTATTGGAGGTCACCCAGACATCGTCCATAAATGGCTGCCTTTCACAGTGATGACTTCATCAGGGAAGCTGGGAAGGGACTTCCTGTATACAACTTCATAATTGACTTCCCTTTCTTTCTGCAAAGGGTTTAGCAAAATGCTTTGATTCTCTCTTCTATCTCTAAGGTAAACATTAGTTTTCTTATGATGTTTCTCTGGAAGGATGACATTAGCACTGAATGACATGACTGCCTTCCTGACATAGGAATCTCTCCACTGAATCTCAGTAACAAGACTGACCTTTAATGGAAGGAACAATGGTCACTTTAAGGTTCTTTGCACGTTGTAGATTCCAGGTCTGGTTCTCCTTTTCTGGTAAAAAAGAACAAAGCCCAATGGATCAGATACTAGGTTCCTGGTCTCTGATCTGAACAGTTGTTTAAAAACTGTCCAGAATTAACTCTGGTTGCTGAGTTTTCTTTTAGCAAGAACTACGTGAAAACCTTCAAACTGTCTAATACTCTTTTCGGTTAAAACTTTCAACTTGGCCGTTGTTTGGGTGCATTTTGGTAGCACTAAGTGAGTCAAATGAGAATGCAGCCTCCTTTCTTGAATGAAGAAGGCTTGACCCTTCTTCTGATATCATATGGCTCAGTATGCCACAGACATCTGAAGAAAACAGCTGCAAAAATAGAGAGCTACTACATTTTTGGTTTGCATTTTTCTTTTTCTTTTTTTTTTAAACATCTTTATTGGAGTATAATTGCTTTACAATGTTGTGTTAGTTTCTGCTGTATAACAAAGTGAATCAGCTATACGTATACATATATCCCCATATCTCCTCCCTCTTGCGCCTCCCTTCTACCCTCCCTATCCCACCCCTCTAGGTGGTCACAAAGCACCGAGCTGATCTCCCTGTGCTATGCGGCTGCTTCCGACTAGCTATCTATTTTACATTTGGTAGTATATATATGTCAATGCTACTCTCTCACTTCGTCCCAACTTACCCTTCCCCCTCCCCATGTCCTCAAGTCCATTCTCTATGTCTGTGTCTTTATTCCTGTCCTGCCCCTAGGTTCATCAGAACCATTGTTTTGGTTTTTTTTAGATTCCACGTATATGTGTTAGCATACAGTATTTGTTTTTCTCTTTCTGACTTACTTTGTATGGCAGACTCTACGTCCATCCACCTCACTACAAATAGCTCAATTTTGTTCCTTTTTATGGCTGAGTAATATTCCACTGTATATGTATGCTGCCTCTTCTTTATCCATTCATCTGTTGAGGGACACTTAGGTTGCTTCCATGTCCTGGCTATTGTAAATAGTGCTGCAATGAACATTGTGGTACATGTCTCTTTTTGAATTATGGTTTTCTCAGGGTATATGCCCAGTAGTGGGATTGCTGGGTTGTATGGTAGTTCTATTTTTAGTTTTTTAAGGAACCTCCATACTGTTCTGCATAGTGGCTGTATCAATTTACATTCCCACCTAATGAAACTTAAAAGTTTTTGCACAGCAAAGGAAACCATAAACAAGACAAAAAGACAACACTCAGAATGGGAGAAAATATTTGCAAACGAAGCAACTGACAAAGGATTAATCTCCAAAATATACAAGCAGCTCAATATCAAAAAAACAAACAACCCAATCCAAAATTGGGCAGAAGACCTAAAAAGACATTTCCCCAAAGAAGATATACAGATTGCCAACAAACACATGAAAGAATGCTCAACATCATTAATCATTAGAGAAATGCAAATCAAAACTACAGTGAGCTATCACCTCACATTGGTCAGAATGGCCATCATCAAAAAATCTACAAGCAATAAATGCTGGAGAGGGTATGGAGAAAGGGGAACACTCTTGCACTGTTGGTTTGCATTTTTCTAGGCAGTGAGAATTTGTTTTTTTCTTATATGGCCATCAAAGGACTTACAGTTTACCGAGAACATTGGATGTTGGCAAAACTCTAGAGCTATGTAATTAAGAGATTAAAGAGTATATTAGAAGAAAATTCACCTAAATACTGAGGGAACGATGTTACACTCAACAGTAAACACTTTTCGTGTTGATCACATATGGCCTATCAGCTGCTGGGGGGGGTCTGTGTTTTCAATCAACAGCCTATTCCATTCCCGTGGTAGGTAGTGGGTAGTTGCCCATAACCACTTGTACTATGCCTAAGAGCTGACATAACCCCTGCCATTGGGATAAGTTGCCCTACTTTGCTCACTTACTGTCTTGAAAGTACAATTTTGGCAATGGGAATTGAGAACTCTGAATTTTCCTTGGGGAAATGATGACTACCGATAAATATAAGTGGATCCATTACTGCTCGCTACAAAAATGATCTTTGAAAATGGACCTCGATCTGCTGTATAAGATCATTACTTCACAGTAGTAAATATTTGTTGAGAAAAGGGCCAACTGAGTGAACTGGGCCAACTGGGCCAACTGAGGAGTACAAGAGTTTGAAAAGATTCAGGCACTAAATGGCATTTTGTAGTATCAATAATATCTTGAGATTTATTATTTTCTTCCCTTTATTTTTTTCTCATGTATGTCTCAGACTGCCTTGCCAAGCCAGTGCTGATGACCCTCACTTAGTGGGAACTAGCGATGGTTGGAAGGGGCCAGATGGGGCCAAAATGAGCTTTTGGCTTCCTTTCCATTCCATTCTGTTAGGTTTTTCTAAGTAGACACATACTCCTCACTGTTCCTTACCCTGGATGAAGAAAGATCCTCCACAGGCATAATCTTCAGGCTTTATCACAAACACCACATAGAACTGCTCACCTGGAAAATCCTTCTTCTGCACAAGACATAAAGATAGGGAGAAGAAGGGAGAAAGTCCATATAATGGTGGGGGCAAAAAGAAAGAGGAAAGAGAAGAAAAGTAAAGTTCACCTCTGCTCCCTAACTCCTTAGAATGGACTCTCACATTCCCATGATCTACTCCAGGTTATCCATAATAAAATAATTGTTATATCCAAGAAATTATGTAAATAGAGTGTTCTGATTTCAATCTGTCCAGTGCCCACTTGAGTGCTTAGAATTGTAGTAGACCCCATATAAAATATATGTCAACAGTCTATGTTTAATAATTTATATTTGTATATTAAATTCTTGAATAAACTTTATTTTTTAGGGCAGTTTTAGCTTCACTATATTAAGTTTTTATTATTTTAAAATTTAATGATAAATGACTTTCTTAAAAGTCACACAGTCAGCAGTTAAGTAAACAATTTAGGTTAGGGAAGCAAAGACTCAAGTCAGGAGACCTGAGTTACAGTCCTGGCTTTGACTTTCTCTAAGTAGGCTTCTCTGTGTCCCAGTTTCTTATCCATGAATGAAGCATGGTTGACAAGATAATCTTTAAGGTCCAGTATATTTATACAACTCTGATTTTTTTTATTATCCCCAAATTTCTGATATTATGTTTAACCCACTGAGAAAATGGCCCAGTACTGAATCATGGGTCCAAAAGAGAAGTAATAACTTATTGCCAAACATATTGAAAGTAGGAATATACTGATATGATTTGCACTTCATTAATTTAGTGTCCAGATGATGTAAAATCTGAGTTTCCTACTATGGTTATTTTTTTGTCTTTTTAAATTTGGGACCACATAATGCTGATGTGCTAAGGAAAAAAAAATACTAAAAATAAGAGCAGATATTTGAGATATCGAATCTGAGACATTAAAAATAAAAGCCTGACTAATAGAAGTTTTTTGGTCTGATAGCTAAATTATAATTAACCTCTCCTCATTCATGGCCTGCTATTCAATAAACAGTATCTCCTTACCTAGAGAACAGATCAAATTACAGGTACTCCAAGTAAGTACCACTCTAAAGCTAGGGACAGAATCTCTTTGAAAATATGCTGACATGATGTCTGTACATTTTTGCTATAAAATTACCATTGAAATAATAATTTAATTATCATACCAAAAGGGCAAACTTCTGCACAAATGTGGTTCATATTCCTTTGAACCTGTCCATTCTGTCCAGAGTTGAAGTTATGTTTTGGTTACAATATGTTTTTTTTCAATCGAAGGGTAGTTGATTTAAAATATTGTTTTAGTAGAATATGTTTAGTTGTTTTAAATGGATCAGATAAACTTTACCCTAAACCAGCATCCCCCATTGGGTAGATTGGAATCTTTTGCCCTTACTTCTCTAAGCAATCTGTCAGACATGTCCCACTGCATCACAGGTTCCCAAGATTCCCCAAGGGGAACGGAGCACCTGGTAGAGTAGCACTGTCTACTATCACGAAGGCTTTGATTTCAGGTGTAGCAATCTTTGTTTTAAAATCAATCAGAAAGGAAAGAGATTCAAGGCACACAGTGAGCGGTAATCCCTTAGGTTTTTCTAAGTCCGGCAGGTAACCTGACTGGTCCAGTAGGTAATCTGATTATAAACTGTGCACTGTCATTGACAATAACAACCACAGAAGCGATGTCTCACCTGTAGTGTGATGGCAGCTTTCTTGGTCATGGATTGATAGACACCATTAAATTCTACATTGTGGTCGAGATCATACACTGGGCACTGTAACATGCATGAGGGATAAAAAAGGAAAGCATCACTAATGTCATAGTATACATACCACACATGCCACCTGGATCACAGGGGAGAGGGTCCCTACTGAGCCAGAAACCATGAAGAGTTTTCCCCCAGAACAGTCATGAAATAGTCCTCCTAAAACTTGTGCCTTGTCCTCTGAAGTCAAGGTCACTTTATATCAAAGAGAACTGAAAAGATCATCTTAAAGTGTATCACACCTTTCCCATTTTTTATTTAACACCTTATGAAACAGAAAGGGCCTAATGACACAATAAAAATTTTAAAAAATAGAGCAAACAGTTTTCTGTTTTTCTTGTGCAGCCCACAAGTTGGTCTTCCTTGTTCTCTGTCATAATCCTCCCTCCCTCCCTTCCTTCCTTTGTTTATTTTGGTGAGGAGTCAACTGCTCTCTATCTCCCCAGATCAATGTCTACAAACACAGACTGCACACTTGTGTGCACACGATACTGTCTTTATTAGTTAGCAGTTTTGTCAGGAATATGTAGTATGAGGATGACATGGTGGTCACCCTTCTCTCTCATTTACCCTGGGACAATATAATACTCCATATTGGAAGGTTGACAGGTTATGAAGACTCACCATGATATTCTGGACTGAGACAACAGAGCATGGATAAGCCATTTCAGACACAACTTTAATGATAACTGAGTCCACGTCTTCAGGAAATTTGTATAGAAAATACTAAGAATAAAAAAAAGAAAGACAGGATTTGTTAATGTTAAGAAATGTTTACGGTCAAAAACTCAAGCTATTTTCCCATGAATAAGGTGGTTTCCTCAAATATTAAGCACAAAGTTCAGATGTAAGTCTCAGTAAGCCTCCAGTAGTTCGGTCAGCCGTTCATCTCTTGCATGTTGAGCGAATGCTCTGTGCGGGGCTCAGGCACTAGGAACACAGCAGTGAACGAGAGAAAGGAGCCATTTCATACGATATTGCCATATCATTTTTTATGGTTTTTCCTTCTCAACTAAACTTTGCTACACTTCATTCTAATTTTGACTTAAGAAGATGCCCCCAGCCCTTTGAATTAGAGATACGTGAAATGTGACAGGAGACAAGGTTTGCCTCTGTGGGGTCCTTTTGAAATATGAAGCTCCTCCTTGAAAAGCAGATAAGCCTGTTCTTCAAGAATCTTAACCACATTCCCACAGGCAAGAATTAGCACTAGACCCACCCTTCCCCTAGACTTTCTTGCCAAAGAATCTATTTCCTGGCTGGAACACAGGGAGATGACATTTAGATTCAAAGACCAAGCCCTACATCTAGCCTCCTGTAATATGTTCACAATTTTGGGCAGAAGTATTTCTCCAATATCGTCAGAATAAGGAAACATTTATAATAGACAAAAGTTACACTATTTACCTACTTAGATTATCAATCCACTGGAAAAATTTATTAACTCTAAGCCTTAAACATGTTGCTAATAATGAAGAAAGGGGACTTCTGCCCAGTAGTTATAAATATAGAAACTGGTTGAGAAGCTTGACATGAAATATACGATTAAAATTTTGAGGAAAACAAACAAAGCGAACTCCTATCCTAGGGCTTTAGTAAATCTATCACTTGAAAGGAGAAGCAAAACCCATTAAAACTTCATTTTGCATTCCCACAGCCTCTTTATTAACCTTACTCTGAGAACCAGAGCAATAAAGATAGAACTTTTTCAACAATCCAAAGCCTTCTGATGGGGAAAAAAATCATCTCAAGATTGAAGAGTGTCATTAACGCTGCTGTTTGGAAGTCTGTTCATGCCTTGTAACAGATGGCAACACTCTCAAGAAGCCACTCCGTTTTTGTGCTTTTATTTTGGAGCTTGATTCAAATACATATAATACAGGGCTCTTCCAAAGGTGAATACTCTGGAATTCCCAAGAGGCGTTCATGGTTCTTAGGGGAACCATACTTTGTAACTCAAAAGCATTATTATGGTTACTGTCAGCAGTAATGAGCATCACATATATGCCTGTATATTCTAGGAGTTGGTTTTGTGCAAGCTGTAGACATCTACCGAAGCCTTCTCTGTATACCAAGGTATCACTAATCGTTTTTTACCTTTAAATTACCATAAACCCCAAATAAATAAACCCCTTGCCTTGAGAATCTACTTTTACCAGAAGGAAGCAAGTGACAAGGATCCAAAGCAATGCCTGGAATTTAGGCTAAAAATCACCATCTTGTGTCCTGATTATCTATCCAGTTTCTGTAACCTGCTTCTATCTACAGGAATAGAGGCAGACAGTGGTGATTCAGGTTGTCCGAGTATGTGCAATAGTTTGGGTGGACTTACAGGAACAGAAAATTTTTCCTGCAGTTGAAGAGGATATAAAATATAGGCCAAAATGGGAACAGTTACGAGTAAAGTAAGACCTTCAGAGATGTCAAAGAATTTCTGTTTTGTTTCATGAGTTTGTTTTAAGTATATTTTACTCTAGTTTGTGATATATATACAAATTATTCGGGCTTTAGTGTTTAATACTTTTTTAAAATAGAAAGAAGCTATAATATATAATCATCACTGATTTTCAGTCTACAAAGTACATCACGACATTCACACATTTTATTATATTTAGTTATAAATAAATATAATGATATATTTATAAATAAATAATAAATAAATAAATATGATATTTCTATCATATTTATTATAGCTTTCGACAGGACTATTAGACCGTACTCTTTCTGCAGTTGGGGTACAAGTTTTCCCCTCTCTTTCTATATAGATATCTCCCATTGCCCCTAGTAACTAGTGCTTTCAAATATTTCATGAATTAAGTGGCTAATACTCTGAGGGCAATGGATCGTGGGACTTGGTCCTCTTCTGTCACTGGGTGGCAGCATATATGCACTGTGGAGGCTTTCACTGATGGGAAATTTAACTCTTCAAGGTGTGCTGGAGTTGGCTCTTGCAGGTCTGGGGAGCTGATTGTGCACATCGATTCCAAACTCTGTGTTCAATGACGTCACGCTGGCAGCTTGAAATCCGCCAGAGTGGAGGTATTTACACTGCAGAAATGGGCAAATGCTACAAAACAGGGCTTTCACTCTAAGAACCAGTTGTTAAATATTCACCAGCTCACAAGTGGTTGTAACAGATTTACAACATTATCCATATAATATGTTAATCCCAGTTTTAGTACGGTATATCCAAGGCCATTTTCGACAAAGTTGCATTACAGCCTACAGAAGACTTATAATAAATATCAGGACATTAAATAAATCTGTTTTAAACTTGCTATTGCATAAACTTCACTCTTTCAGAAGCTATGAGAGGAGAAAGGAAGGTAGCTAGAAGTGTCACCAGAAAAGCAGCCTAAGTCAATCAAAGTTTTCATCTATTTAGTCTGTTTATGACTATGGCCTAATGGAGAGCACAGCACAAATATCTAATTCTTCTAATAATTTTTGTCAGCATTCCTGTTCTTTCTTAATGACAGGAGAAACTAATTAATTTTACCCATAACACTGTAGAAATTAAAATCTGTCTCATTTTTATTGTACTTTCAGATCAATTGATTATTTTTGTATTTGTTTAGTGGTGGTCTTCCATTCTTTGTCTCCCCACCCCCATCCTGATTATAAGGTCCGTGAAGGCAGAAGTTGCACCTGTCTCTTCTTCATCCTTCTATCCCTGGCACCTAGTATAATCTATCACTGTACTTGGTACATAGTAGGCCCACAATTTTATGAATGAAGGTTGAGCCAAGGAACATCTGCAAATACTTCATGCCTCCCATTTTACACCAATTCAAGTGATAAGGTTAAAGGTGTGTCTAAAATCCCAGTTACATGAACAACATTCCAAAAGTACAAATATAACTCATGTTGTGAAAGATCGAGGGCAACATCACATGCTAACTCTACCTGTTACCATGGTTTCTTTGGGTAACACCAACAGGAAGAATCATGATAACCTTGAAGCCCTTCACTTACCTGGGGTTGAGAGGGACTGGCAGTAAAGTGAAAGGCAACATTTGTCCTGAGAAATATAAGGGGGAGAGGGGAAAGTGGGAAAAGTGAAAGAAAAGCATAAGTTAGCAAACAAAAATTGTTTATTAAAAAAAAATCTTAAACTAGATGCAAGGAAAGCCCTACCCTTTGAGAAAGGAGTTCTGGGCCCATAAAAGTGACAAAGTGTGCTGCATGGGAACTTGGTGTTTTCAACTCTCAAGAATGATCAAATTGGGGAACTGATCAATTTTATGTCTTTGTAAACCCATGAAGTCATACCTATACAAGTAAGTACTTTGTTGACTTTTATAGACACATTTGTCTTTGGATTCTCTTAAGATTTTACAATCAAGTACAGGGTTTAGGTGTCAGAAGTGGTCTGAAAGAGAGAGGAAAAGAAGGTTTGAGGTTCATTTGCATAATTCAGATAGCACTTCAAAATTTTGATGTATCCATGGCAAAAGATCACTTTTTAAAAAATGTGGTGGATAGATAATCACCATGGGAGGGTCTCTAGAGATAGGAGCATACTCTTCCTGCCCCCAAGCACCCCCAGTTGTCTACATTTCCCTCCAAGGTTGTGTCCTCTTTGGGTTGGGCATTGCGTTCTAAGACCCTTCTTAAAATGCACATACCACCAAAAGAATATAATGAAGTTATTTTCTCTCCAATTATTAATTTGCTGTGAATTATTTTATTAGATATTTTATTAGATATTTTCATTCTTCTGTGAAAGACAGAAATGATCCAGCACTGAGGAAAGGACAGTGTGAGGAGCATGTGGGAACCAAACATCTGTAGCGTAGAGTGCTGTTGGAAGGAACATACGTGAACAGTTCAAGAGACTGGAAAACAAAGAGAAATTTGCTCTTCTCTGAAGTCATGTAAGGGCTGTTTGGGGCTTTTGTTCTTTCTGGTTCTTGCCTCATTTTTAGTTGTGAAGATCACACTCACACATGCCCACTGCACTCTCCACGCCTGCGTCTGGGGAGTGTCATGATCCCAACTGTCCAGTGTGACCTGCACTTCTGGGAACCTGAACCTGAGCTTCTTCTGGGGTCCTTCCCCAGCTTTATCCCCCAATGAATGCTAAGGAGTCTTTCTCTCCACTCCTAATTTTCCTTTTATAAAAATTAAATAGTTTAAAATTTTTATTAAAGATTCCTTTAGAAAGGGCATGTCAGGACATTTAAGCATGAAGTTTATAATTGGAGGTGTTGTTTAGAAGTCATAAAATTTGAGCACTATTTCTAAAGGTAATGACAAACAATTCAGGCTGTAAGCAGATGGGGCTTAGAGTTTAGCAATGGATGTAATTTGTATATATTCACTCTCAATAGAAATCATCATCAGAGTCAAGGATTGGTTCTGCTGACATATGGTTAGTAACTCGTGATCTTAAGTCACCTAAAGAAGCCAAAGTCAGTGTCAAATCCAGTTGTGTGTGTTCTCCTGAGATTCCACAGCCAGAGTCAGGACCCACGGTGCTGTGTGTGGCTCTCAGCGTGTGGGGAGTGTCATCTGCTATTACCAGGGCAACACGGGGCCCTCAATTCTGTTTGTTGCCAGGTCAGGGGAACAAAGAGGACAGTGATTTTCTTGGCTGGCAACAGACAGTGTAAGATTTCCAGGAGAAAACAGTTTTCTTTGGCCAGCAATTTGTTTTTAAATTCTCCCCTGTCATTTGAATTGCAGTTATAACATTGAATGTGTGGACATTGATAGGAATTTTCTGTTTTTATTTTTTTCTTGTTCTTTATGTTTGCTTTACTAGTACAACACATACAAACTTTGAAAACACTTTATTTTCTTTAAGACTATCACATTTAAGTCTTCTCTTTCTCATGGAGTCAACAGTGTGTGCAAAATAAACATGGTGCCTGTTGCAGATGAAAGGTTCTGTTTCCTTCCCCATGGGCCTCAGTGGAGGTAGGGAAGGTTTATTTCATCAGGTGTCATTAAGCAACAGAACAAATCTAACTGAGACACATGTACACCTTTAGTTTTAGAGAAGGAAGTACACAATTTTCGACTTATTTGAAAAAATTAAACACAGGAAACAAAAGTTTATTCAATAAATAAGAAAACCCAAAAGCTAATTTTGTTTCCTCATTTTGGCTAGTTTGAGGGAGAGGGAAAGAGAAAAGGAACAGAGGAGTCAAGAGAGATGGGTGTGCAGGGAAGGGAGACAGGAGAAGAGGGAGAAAAGGGCCCATGGGGAAGGGAGAGAGAAGGGGGAGAAGTATCTACAGGAGAGTAATAAAACAGAAGGAAAAGGAAGGGGGGATGGGAAGAAAGGGTAAGTGGAAAGACAGGCAGAGACAAAAACTAAGTCGTTTTTGAGGTGAGTACAGAGAGGACTGTGAGATTCAGGGCATCACATATATCTTCTGACAGCAAGCCCCTAGCACAGAGCACAGTGAGCGTTGAAAACCCTCACTTTGTCGAAGGAAATCACGCTGGTTATTCACTTGGACTATGGACTTCAGAGTATCATTTCCTGTTATCTCCTTACTGCCATCTGTCATGAACTGCCTTTGCTTATCCCAAATCTTTCCCCAACCCTCCATCATCTGTAACCCTCCACCTCAAGGCTCTGGCTGAAGTATAAACTCTCCACGCGTGTGCTAAATCCTGTCTTTTCTTCCCTCCTCTGGGACGTTGCTTCTACAAAAATCCAACTCTCCTATAAATTTTATCCGCCTTTCTACTCCTTAGTTTATAAATATACTCTAGTCTCAACCATTTTCAAAATAAATAACAAACAAAAGCACCCCCCAGAATTGCCCTCTTTTCCCCAAATTTCTCTCCTTTGATGTCATTCTATATCCTTCTCCTTCACAACCAGCCTCTTCAAAGAGTGCTCTGCTCCAATCCCTCATTCATGCTTCCCTCTCCCCACTGCTGTCAGGATTCTTTTTCCACCATCTCCCTGAGCTTGCAGTCACCTCCTTGTAGTTAAATCCAGTGACTTAGTTCTTAATTTTCTTTACCTGTCTGTGACAGTTGACACTGACAGCCACTTCCTCTGTCTTAGAACTTCCTCCCGTGGGCTCTGTGACCTCTGCTTTCCTGGGTTTTCTTCCACACATCTGACTATGCCGAGTCAGCTTCTTCTGAGAGCTCCTATCTCTCAGACGATCCCTTATATGAGAATGTGACCCACAGTCTTGTTCTTGATCTCCTCGTTTTCCTTAGCCACATACATCTTCATTCATATATGTATAATTATATATATTATAATTGCCATAAAATCCATATATATAAATATTCAGTTGCCACAAAAACCACAACAATGGTAGTGAATCACAAGTTTCCATGTCCAGCCCAGGGCTATCTCCTGGGCTCCAGTCACAGAAAAGGGTTTCTCTGCTGGGCTTCTGCACTTCGCTGGCCCTCAAGCATCTCAAACTCCATATGATCAAAAGGGAATGTACTCCCGTTTCCCTGACCCTGACCTGCCACGTCTGTCGATAAGCCTCACCTGACTTGTGACATCATTGCTGGAGTTATCTTGGATTCCCATTTTATCCCTTCCACAGCTGACTGCTCACCAAGTCTTACTGATTCTATTAGTGTAAATGTAACCTGGATGCACCTGCTCCCACCTGAAGCACTGTCTGCTCAGTACAGCATCCAATAAGAAAAAGAAAACAAAACTGAAAAACAATGTAAATCACTGTACTCTACCCTAAAATACCAAAGGGCCATTACATAGGATGACATATAGCAAAATGGTCTAAAAGCCTCTTTACTCATCCATTTCCTCAAAAATCTATTACTTTTCACAGCGCAGTAGCTGAGCCATCGCACTCAAAACGCTCTCTCAAAACAAAGACTCAAGATCCCTACTTAGAAGGCTAGAGGAGGGTTGAAGCCTTCAAGTGCTCATGTAAGACTATATTTTTGATTCTGCCACATGTATTTTTTGAATTTGTGAATTATCCCCATGTGTATTACTTGACTCTTTTTCTCCCTTACAACTTTGTTGCTACCATGATATGTTCAGGTCCTAATAATTTTTTAATTCTTCTCTGTTCAAACTTTTGATTTGTCTGTGTGCCTCTACCCTCTCCTCTCCAGTTCATCTTCCACACGGCTACTAAAGTCATCTCAAAAATCAGACCTGTTGATGATATTCTGTTGCTTAAAATCTTTTTGTGGCTCCCATAACCTTAAAGATGAAGTCTAAACTGCCTGGTGCAGCAAAAATATCTCAAAGATCAAGGATTGGGTACTGCCTGTTTCTCCCCTTACCTCCTGGAACTCCACCTCAGGCACCATAGGGACCAGCCTTCCTGAAGCTTCTACTCAGTGGCCTCTCTGTTGCTCAGCCCTCTCTCCTGAGCATCGTGCTGTATAAGTTCAACACTCTGCCAGGCACTGCACTTCAAGTTCAACATGTCCCAAAGTGAACTTATCTTTTCCTTCCCTCCTCAAAATTCTCATTTTCTCTTAGGGGCACCACCATCTACAAGTTAGATGGTCATCCTAGACTCTCCCACTTCCCTTACCCTGAATACCCAATCAAGTTTTGTCAACTTCACCTCTAAATTCTTCAGTTCATTTCATTATTTATCTTGACCACGGCATCAGCCTTCTAATTTCTCTGCATCCAGTCGAGTCCCCCTCAAATCCATTATCCATACAAATATCACAACATAGACAACTGTCTAAATTTCTTTCTTTTTCTTTTTAAACTATCTGTCATGCATTTTCCATTCTTGGGGATATCTTTTTTTATTTTTGGCCGAGCCACATGGCTTGTGAGATCGAACCCAGGCCCACGGCAGTGAAAGCATGGAGTCCTAATCACTGGACCACCAGAGAATTCCCAACAGCTCTTCCAGGCTCCTCCCACCCCAGGAGCAGGTGCCTGCCTGTTCCTGCAGCCTCCTGCTGTTCCCTATCTGCAACTTCACACTCTGCAGCACTGAGCGCCAGGGCAATGGGGTCCGGGAAAAGGAGTAGGGGCAAAGCCGGTGTATGTGCATGTGTGGAGGCAGGTGGGGGAGAGTTAAGA